CTCTGTCCCCAACTGCACGAATCCTTCGTCCCATTCTGTCTTCCCCTTGCCCGTTAGGCCCGTTCGTATGGCTCCCTTTCCGGACTTTCGACCCTTTTCCGCTCGGTACTTTCGTGAGTACTTTCTATGGCGATAGTGATAGACAAATGATACTGTTCCCGGACTTATTGAGAGCTATCGTCGAATTGCCCGCGCAGAGGAGAGAAGAGGGAAAGTTCGGCGGTTGATTTTGATGTAGAGATAAATCGCTTCCAAAGGAAGGATCGATGAATTTCCATGAGTTACCTCCGCCGACATTTTTCGCAGTCGCTTCTCGGCTGATTTTCACTTAGGAGACGAGACATCTCGCTCGCCGAGATGTGAATCCGTTAATACTGATGTTAAACGGAGAGGATCTAACTGCGTAATAAACACGCGACAGAGATATTCCTGGTGCCCTGCGAAGGGAGACAGTTCATTGCCGGCCGGTGTTTAACTTTATTCTCGTGTATCTTTAATACCAAGCGATATCGGACACTGCTTTACAATACGCGTCTTGTCGTGACTTGTATTAAATTCTTCCTCGAATTTGATCCCACAATCGTAGACTTTTGTATACTTTCGCGAAACGGAACGTCTCTTTTCCAACGAACCCGCAACGAGGAAGACGAACGTCTCTTAAGTGGCCAATAACCGTGTGATTTACCCCACTTAGTGGACTCTGGAGAAATTTATTAAATCCTTCCCTCCTCCCGTTCTCGCATCTTTTGTCATACTCTCTCCCCAGCGTCCCGGTCGAGATTCTCCCGGGGCGAGCCATTCCCGCTTTTTCCCCTTCGGGGATTGGCCCAGTTTTTCCACCCCGCTCGCTCGCTCGCTCGCGACGCTCCCGATTTGTACCACTTTTGCCCGAACGAAAACGGCGGGATTTGGGATGTACTCATCCTTCGATAAAAATAAATCGCGAGTGTCCAGACAGTTAATGAGATCGATAGAGCCGTTCACGCGCAGCCGGATAACGAGGAGCGACGATATCTCCGCTTTTTCGTGTTATTTCCCGAGGTACGGCCGATATCGTATTAATTTCGTCTGTCCGCTCGGACGATAGACGGACAGCTAATCCATACATGAGAATTTTTCTTTCGCGATGAAATATAATGCGCACGTCGCGGACCTCCATCGGCGGCCGGAACATGTCGAACGGACGCGCAATTACACCGCACAAACGAGACTTTGTTTCTCTAACTTGGATCTCTCTTGATTCGCGGATTCGATACTCTCCGTCTCTCCCTCCCTCCCTCTCTCTCTCTCTCTCTCTCTCTGTCTCTCTATCGCCGTATACTTACGCCGTTTCATGTGGGATATATTTGTCTCATTTAAGAGTGTTTTATTTTCAAGGACCATTCGCGGAAGTATCGTAAAAAAAAATATGGAAGCTGCAGGGCTACTTATTTTATTGGGTAATATTCTGCTTACCAGAATAGTAAAAGCATAGACGCTCGTTCGCTATAAAAAGCACCGATAAACTTTTACGCCCCGCAATAAAAGTGCGGTACCTTATTTCACGTTAATTGTATGCACACGCATCTCGCATAGCAACAACCAGCTGCCCCGACACAGAGACTTTGCGTTACACGCGCGAGCGTTGTCGACGTGGCTTCTAAGACAGTCATTTGTATTTATCAGCGAATGTATCACGTCTCGGCTCTGTCTCGGTGTTAAAGTAAGAGCGAGCAGATAAGAGACACGGCATAATCACAGTTACGGAAACTGTGCGTTGTTTTAGGTAGCTTTAGGTGTAGGCAGAGGTGTGTGTAACCATAAGCAACTGTCCGAAGTAGGGGAGAGAGAGAGAGAGAGAGACCCACGAGAGTTATTTTCCGCTTGTTGAACCGAACTAACTTACTGATGTAACTGGAATAATTAAAGTGATGCGTACGAGGCCCTCTCCGCGTTGGAATCGCAAGACAACTTTAAGCTCGGTTGTGGGTGGCAAGATGGACCGTGCGGTGAGGGTCACAATGGGGAACTCACGCATGTGAAGGGACCACACACGTGTGATGAAAGTACATACGCTATGCGCCTCAAACTGTTCAAACTTATCTTTCGGTCACCCAATTCTTCGAACCCGAATTTTCCTCCACGTGTGTGAAGCCATAAATCTTACCACTGGAATCAAGACTCCTGCTGATTCTGTTTCTCATATTACATGCGATTGCAAGCGAAACAAATCTCTGCTGTACCGAAAAACAAAATATATCAACAGCGTAAAGATGATTAATATCCCATGGTATCAAGTAATGAAATTCAATTAAACCCATATAAAATGTAGTATGTACAACATAAATATAAACATACAGCTATTATGGCTTAAATATAACATATGCAGCGAGAGAGGAGCAAAACGGAAAGAGTCTCTTCGATAAAATTACATCGAATATTTCGTACGTGGTTAAATGCGTACGTGAAATTCGCGCCATGTACTTCCTCACTGTTTTACCGCAGCTCTTTCGCTTTACCATCAGAGGGCTTTATCCAAACCTGGGTAAGAACGCCGAGCGTAGGTGCGCGTTGCCATCTGCCGGCGGCGCGCGATGACCCTCGACCGCACGGCGACAACACAAGGCGCATAGGGGGACACGCGTAACGCGACAATGGCGACCTGAGGAGTATCGTGGCGTGCGTTCCGTCGCTGTCGTGTGCCCGCTTCTGTGAGTCCGCGCGAGTGTGTTTACACGCGTACGCGAGCTTGTGAATGCTCGGATCGTCCGCGCCGGTGAGAAATGCGTTGGCCGAGAGGTGCGAGCCGGAGTCGGAAACAAGCAGACCGCTGAGGCCAGCCATCCAGGCGACCGACACCGCGATTCATGGTGCTGGTGGACCTCGCCGAAAAAACGGCCGAGCCATGTACGCTTTCGCGTCCTCGCGCTCGTTATAATGCGCTGGTGAGTGAGATGTATCGATCGCGGCGATACGCCGATCGGACGGCAAGATCGTGCCCGGCTTTTTAAATTGCCCGGCACGCTACGATCCGATCGCGCGTCGAGCACAATGTAAACGCTCCTCCGCGCCGTACGCCCGCTGCTGCTGTTGCTGCTGCTGCTGCTGTTGCTGCTGTTGTTGCTGCTGCTGCTGCTGCTGCTGCTGCTGCTACCACCGCCGCCGCCGCCGCTGCCGCTGCCGCCGCCACCGCCGCCGCCGCCGCCGCCGCCGCAAGCCTGCTGGCGCTCGGTTCGGCGGAGCTCGAAATGCGCGGTTAGGTTAGGTTAGTCTGCGAAACTGCCAGGAGAAAATTTATTTTGCTCTCTTTTGCAGTCCGTGCGACTGCAGTCCGGACTGCATCTTCTATTTGTTGTATCGTCAAGCTCTTATCGAAGGTACGTGAGCGTCGCGAGTGCGGTCCTTGCTCTCTCTCTGTCTTTCTCTACCTCTCCCCTCTCTTTTTCTCTCTGTCTGTCTCTTTTTCACCTCCCCTCTCTTTCTCACTTGTACTGCCTCTGTGTGTCTCTCTTTATCTGTATCCCATCCCCGTTTCTGTTTCTTCTCCGTCTCGTCAACCATCTCTTTCCTCATTCACGATGAATGCACGAATCACTCGCGCGCCATCCGAAGCGAACTTAACGGTAATAATTTTGTTATTTATATCGGCATATGTAAATGTAGGCGGCACGTTTCGGTGTGTAATCTTTCTCTCTCTGGATATGTATGTGTGTATGTGTGTCTGTGTGTGTGTGTGTGTGTGCGTGCGTGTGTGTGTGATGCGCGCGCGTGTGTAAGATGTACGCGCGCGATCCGCGGTCGTGATTATTTATGCGAGTGTACCGCGCTCTGTCGTACGCGTGTATGTTATGAATGATAAGACCCGTGAATCTTTCGCCGTGAACGAATAGAATGTCGATGCGATACGGTGTTTTCTTATGTGCTCTTTGATCGCGAGTGCCGCTTCAAAAATTTGATTTTCGCTAATAATGCGTTCGGTACATGTTTACGTACACCTCCGAGTTTTTCGTATTACGAGCTACATTTAAGTTTTTATAAAACTTTTATCTCAATTCTTAAAAAAATCTTGTGCCCATGGGGAATATTTCGGGATATTAAATTACTGATTTAAAATCTCTTTCTGGTATCTTTGGTATCTTTATATGAGGTTTTTTAGTTTTATTTCTCTTAAATTATGAGCAATATAAAAACTGAAATATTTATATTTTTCATATATGAGTATAATTAATATATAATTTCTATATTTATATATACATATTTAGAGGTGAGCATGCATTTATCATTATATTTGATTCGCTCATATTTAATTCAGTTTAGATACAGACAATGTTAATGAAATATGCAAGAAAATATATGGTTAAAGTTATAATATAATATTTCTTATCAAGAAGATAAAAACATTTAAGAAAACAAATAGATATAAGTTTATATTTTTCAACAATTTCACTTGCTAGCTTTTAAAACAAAACTGCCTCTTCCATTATACTTATTTAGATTAATTTTTTGAATTTTAAATGGCTAGAATGATATTATCTCTATCTTATATTTCAAATAGAATAATTTATAGTACTAACATACAAATGTGATTCTTAATAAAAACAATAATTTTTCGCAGCATTAATGTAGAATGTATGTATATGTGTATTTAAAGTCAGTAAACAAAAAATCTCAATACTTTTATGAAATTTAAATATTTTCTTTCTATATTTTTTTATAATATTAGATAGATATAGATTTGTGTTGCGTTGAATTTGAAAATTTAGATATATTTGATATCGATGATTACAGAACTCATATATACACCTTTTTATCAATAATCCAGATATTAACTATCTGCATTGTGACCAAATACAGTAGACTTTTAATTCGCTACATTTACATCGTTTCATTAGATTTACATGAATGTATTTGTACATAGTGAAATGAGAAAAAATAATTAATGTAAAATAATTAATAGAATAATTGGATGTAGCGTTAAGTTCATGTACATAACAAAAGTTCTTTCCCCTGTACTTTAACAGCGGATCAAGAATACTTATTTGCCATCGAAATCCAGTGGTGCTGGCATGATAAAATAAGGGAAGCGAACGAGGGAGATGAGCCACAATATAACAGGCATGCCACCCTTCACGAGGATGCCATTGGGGGGTATGGGAATGGGTGTGAGCATGGGCCCCAATGCTCCGCATCCTGACTCTGCTGCTCATCCCCATCCGCCGCCACCGCCACCGGCAGGTGCTAATCCTAAGAAGAAAAGACGTACAAATACGAGCGTCGCCCAACCACCCCCACAACAACCTCCGACTGTACAGGTGTGTTAATCGAGTATCGTGGTATTTACGTTATAATATATCCACGCTGGATCAGCGGTTGCACGACATTAATGTGATACATTCTTCTGACAGGATCTACTGCCCCCACCTCTAACGGGTTATGGTGACACGATCGTAGCGAGTAATCCCTTCGACGATACACCACCGCAAACCACGCAAAGCCCAATGATGCACGGCGGGCCTCCACATATGCATCCTCACCATCCTCATCATATGAGCGGACCTCCTATGCGAGGCATAAGTCCTTTAACTTCGATAGGTGGCATAAGTCCTATGATGCCGCATAACATGGGCAACATGAGCCCTATGAGCAGCTCTCCTATGGCGAATCATATGAATCACATGGGAGCCATGTCTCCCATGAACCACACTCCCATTGGCGGCATGAGTCCTATGAATAATATGGGACCGAACATGCCGCCCGGACCGATGAACACCATGAACAATCACATGAATATGAGCCATATGGGAAGTTCGCAACTGAGCGGCCCGCCAATGGGCAGTCCGATGAATAATATGAATAGTGCGCCCATGGGTAGTCCGATGAACAACATGGGTCATAATATGGGGAGTCCTATGGGTGGACCTCTTGGTTCCCCGATGAACACTATGGGAGGCTCCAATCATATGCCTAATGGACCAATGAATATGAACAACATGAATAGCCATATACCGCCCAATAGTCCGTTGAACGGACCATCGTTAAATAATGTAAACAGTCCGTTAGGACACAATGGATCTCAGCCTCATCCGAATCACATGGGAAATAATCTTAACAATTTAGGGAGACCCATGAATGGACCTATGACCACTATGAGTTCGATGGCGTCGAGCAATATGAATATGACTGGTCCAAATCAGATTAACAATATGAATATGGGTGGGGCGGGGATTAACAATATGTCGAATATGAATATGAGTCATCATAATCAAATGAGCCACATGGGAATGCCAATCGGCACATTGCCGAATAATATGGGTGCTGGACCACCAATGGGGCATCCCATTAATATGGGTGGATCTATGCCTCCACACGGATTTCAAGGCCCACCTGGAATGGGTCCAAAACCAATGCCAGTTTCCGCGGGCAAGGTAATTTTACCTTGCATTTATCGTCGTCGAACACGCGACAGCTCACGTGATATTTGCAAGTAGTATAGTGCGATTAATTTTTTTAAACACTTGGTATAGAGCAGCGGCATTAGCGATTGTACGAATTGACTCGCAATTCTTACTGATTTCTTGCAGATATATCCTCCGGATCAACCCATGGTATTCAACCCACAAAACCCCAATGCGCCACCAATTTATCCTTGCGGGGTTTGTCATAAAGAAGTGCACGACAATGACCAGGCAATTCTGTGCGAATCAGGTTGTAATTTTTGGTTTCACAGGTGAGTCGGTGATATGATGATCAGTAAGTGATAATACAAAACATGAATACAAAACATCGCGTAACACCGACGACGTGTGTTTGCAGGATTTGCACAGGATTGTCCGAATACGCCTATCAATTATTAACGCAACAAGTTTACGCGGAGTGGGTGTGTGATAAGTGTTTGCAGTCGAAAAACGTACCCCCAGTTAAGTTTAAACCATAACACTTCTTATCCCGTCGTTCATGCGACGTCCCAGTGACTCTTTGTTAGCGTTACGTATGTATGCGCACATATGTGCGTGCGACTGTGCACATACACGTACACATACACAAACACGTACACATACACATCCGTAGCACATGGTAAATATTAGTGCACGTATGAAGTCGTGCATACAATAAAAAAAAAACACAATGTTTGTTAACAACTTAGCTTTAACTTGTTGAGATATTAGAATATCATTGTGAGCCGTAACGATAAATATGAAGGCGGAAACAACACGGTTAACGGTTACTTTACATTTTGAGTCTATTCATGACAAGTGGATTCGTAAACAAAATCAATCGATAATTTAAAGTTGAATTTCGGCAGATATAAAAATGATAATACTGGCTAGACGTTTTGTTTTTTTTTTTTATGACTAAGGCGATATGAAATATTCCGAAAGAATGTTTAGCCAGGAACATTTATGCAAAACAGAAATAGACATGGGAGTGTTAAATATAAAATATGTAAGGTTCGAAGGACCTAGTATTCTTATGACTAAATGCATTTAATTCAAAATTAACGGTACCTACAAGCGTTAAGTTCACTTAAGACGATCTATAATTTGCAATAGAATATGGGACAGAATTCTATTTTTTTAATTTTTAATATCGTATATATATAAAAAAATAGAGTAAGCGTATTTGTAGATTTATATATATATACACACACACACATATATATATATGTACATATATATACATCCATGAATACAATTTTGATTCTTCCAACACTCTCATAAATGGAATCCTGCCCCGAGTTCTATCTAGATCGTCTTAAAGTGAGCTTTAGGAGTTAAATGTGAAGCAGACATATTATTGGAGACGAGCGTGAACAATCGTATCGTCTCTTACTTTGTTTTATCCTATATATAAACGTTCCTGATAAACATCTTGATAAATGTTATTATCTCCTCCATAATTGGTATTCAAAAGTGGCGAATTTTGAAGTTAATAATGTCACAATTTTACAAACAAAAATTTGACTTTAATACCATTTGTTATTTTGAGTCGCTAGGATTGTCGCTCAAGAATCTTGCAAATTCTTTCAATTTTTGCATCAATCTAACAATTTCACGAAGATGTAAATGCTGTTTGAAGTTAACTATCACACATCAGCTTTGTCATAAATAATCATATTATTTATAAAATAACGGGGAGAACATGAATGTGTTTGAGTATATATGTATATACAACTACGTATATACCACTGGGCATATAAATTAAATCATCTTCGGTTTATTACGAATAATGAATGTATCGCCTTTTACATACAGATATATTTATTGTGATAAAAATTTTATTAATTAATCACCGGTAACAGCTTGTTACAATACAAGTCCTATTTTTATTGTTGAATGTACATGTTTTATTAAATTTAATTCTGTGAGTCTGTGACTCACAATCGCGTGGTTGAATGGACCAGTTCCATTCAAGAGCCAGAATTACACGAATTCAAATACAATATTGGTATTCACAGGCGATATACTAGAAATGCTGCAATTCTTGTATTTTTATAAATTATATTTTAGTATAAACCATGGTGAAATTATAGTTTTTTTTTTGTTTATCTTCTTAGTGCTGTGACTTTTTAATCTGGAATAAAATTAATATTTATTTGGTTTGCAAGAAGTAACATCTGGCATTTTCCGACATATTACGTCAAAAATAAGAAAATATGGTAAATATAATGTGGCAATAAATCATTTTCTTTTCATACGTATAAATTATACGAATTGATTTACGTATATTTTTGAAAAGATCTTGCGAGGAATATCGACAATGCCGATGAAGTTAGGAGAAAGTCAGATATTCTGCAAAGACGACAGACAGATTCAATAGCGAAATAATATTTACATGCCAATAAAAAATATTCGTTATTGTCTCATCTGCTCTATATTTCTGCAGTATCAAATTTCTTGTTTCTCATATAATACTCATTCTCATTGTCGAATATTCCAATTACTAATTTAATTAACTATAAACAATCTAAAGTAATACTTTTTATTTTTTTATTTAGCTATAATTTTGCTAACAATTTATTATTGCCATGGTTTAAACTCCTGGTTTGACTGCGGTTAAATTAGGATGTAAGCTATGTATCTCTAAAGTTATGTAAAAAGTTTCAACATTTACAAAAAAGATACGTTTAATTTATGAAGTAATCTTTAATGAGATTACTTGCGCGCGCGCACACATTGCAGGAATTTGTTTGTCTGATATAAACGCGCACGTTTTTTTACTATGACGACTTTAGGCGATAATAGAAAACTCGATAGGATATAGAATCAGCGTAAGCCTCTTACATCTAGGCAAGTCTAAAATGCAAAATAAGCAAGCGCTGGAAAACTTCGGATTTTGTATGATTGGAATTGTAATATTTACAAAACCGTGCCGCAAATTACATATCTTGTGCGAATACTCGCCCTTATGATTTGCAACTTATTCGCCTCGGCCGCGTTTATCTGCGGAAGATAATTCAAATTCAAGCTACTTTCGAATAAGAAATGTCCATTAAGAAAAGAAAAGGAAAGAAAAACATATTTTCGCGACGGGGAAATCTGTGCACACATAATGATTTTTAACTAGCTAGCGCAAATTTTCGCATCTGCCACATTTACAATATCGACGATATGATGAAATATTGAAAAGAACTGAATATTATTGTCATAGAAGGTTAACTGTTAGGAGAAACAAGAAAAAAAAATTGAATTCCGTCGGCAGCTAACACAAAATTATCGAGTCTACGGATTGTATAGTTTTTTATATATATATGAAATATAGCCAGTTATCATTTAACGCGCCTGTATTAAACGGAGATCTGACACTGACTCGGAACAGCGAAAGTGTATCGAGGTAATTAGTAAATGACCGCCGTTTCGCGATTACCAGGTTTACCAATTACTCTCGGGATCTTTCACTCGCGAAGTCTCCGTGTAATTCATGCTTTAAGCTTGTTTTATTGTAATCGTTTTTAACACATATTACATGTGAGTAACATACACAGAATCCTATAACTACATAATGCTCATGTTAGTATTACAACGAATAGAAATACCATCTTCACATATCTTCTTTCTATATTTTCTCATACGGGGAGGAAGGTCACGCTGAAAAGAAGAAGAAAATGAGAAACAAACTCTTAACGTTGCTTTTATTACGAGAGTTAAACAAAAAAAAAGAAAGAAAAAAATGCAGGGGATTAAGCGATTTACGAGACTCACACACGAATAAAAATAACATTGTCAACGGCTGAGACAATGGAGGAAATCGTTTTTCTAGTACAAACAAATGAGCTGTAATTTAAGTAACTAAAGATAACATCTATCTCTCTCTCTCACAGAATTAAATTATAAGTGATATAATTTTACAAACAGGTGCTACACGTCCGCCGGGACACAGAGCACACCTCTCGATGTATATTAATGTCTATGGACGTTTTAATATATATCACTATACACACGTTTTCAATTCGTGTATAATGATATCTGTTGAGTAAGTGAAGACATTAACATATACTTTAGTATATATATACATATATATAGTATATAGTATATATATATATATATATATATACACATATAGTAATATCTTGATTTATATATTATTACATATAGTAATATATACACATATATTAATTGTCTTGACATGATAATTGCTTTCTATGGTTTGCCGATGATTAAAAGTTAACTATAAGTTTGACGGTATAGAGCTTAACCCCCCCTGTAAAATTTGTTCGAAACAAATGCATTTCGTACGTGTCCAACTATTTGTCTCATTGCACTTCCTTCAAAACATACAGTTACCTTTATTTTCAGCGGAAGTATGTACATACCGAAACGTGACGACTTTTTAAACGGAGATGAAGATATTTCGCATAATATACATATATACATAATATATATGTATATATACACACAGACACACATACACACACACACATATGCAATCTTTGAGTTGTCTTTTTATATAAACGGTAGGATAGGCTATACATCGTAAATATCTATTGACTTTATGTACATAAGCCTTTCTATATCTAAGACTTTAATATGGTGGGAATCAAATGACGCGCAAATATCCGCCGCAATCACACACATGATTTTATGTAAATAATATATATCACGTTAACGAATCACACCGATCGTAATGTGTTGGATGTATTACGCACTAATTCTTGTTCTCACAAATGAGGCATAAGTGTAGGAGGCGCAAATTCGCCTTTCACGAGGGTACCGACATTATTATCCAATACCACCGTCGCGATGCGTGTGGATCTTGCGCTTTGTGCCGCTATATTATTAATAACGCGTTAAGTTTCCTAGTTGAGTGAGAAGATTGTAAAACTCAGGAGGTCCGCACCGCGATTTGAAAATTTAAGAAAGGGGCAACCGCGCGCGATTCCTTCGTCGTCGTCGTCGTCGTCATCGTCGTTGTTGCCGTGATTTGGCGCACCGCTTTGTATCGTACGCAGTATTACTTTGTATAAAAAGAGGTAAAAGGAAATAATGAAAAAAATGTGCGGACTACTGTTATCACCGCGAAACACGCAAGGATTTTTCTCGATTATGTCATACGCTCTGAGAAACGCTCGATGAGGAACGCGAACTCGCCACGCTGTGGTGGGAACGCGCTATTCTCCGTTGTCCCGATAATGCGACACAAAAATGATAAAAAATAAAGAACAAACGATAGACGAACGCGAAGAGAAAGAGAGAGAGAGAGAGAGAGGAGAGGAGAGGGGAGAGAGAAAGAGAAAGGCAGACAGACAGAAGATGCGGCGTTAGAGCGGGTGAGAAACACCGCGCGTTTTTAAAACACACACACGTGGGCAAAAAATATCATGACGAGATAAAAGGAGAAAAAAGGAAGAAAAGCAGAAAGGGAGAAGAAAAAAAAACAGCACACGACAAATTGTTCATAGATTATTTTTTATTATCTTGTGAATACAGAATATATATCAGCAATAAAAATTGTTATACGTATTATAGACTGGCGTGTACGTATGTGAACCATTTTGCATACGCAGCGACGCGTACCTAACTCCCACACTCTTGTGCGACGCGTGTACATGTTCACTCGTATATCTATTGTACATATTTATATGGCACTTTAAATAACAAATCGATACATTGTTGATTTTTATATTACTGTTCTACCTTGAAACAGCATCCGTTCACAACCGAAACGTACATACGTCCCAAGATACGTCGCCCGGGGTTTTGTGTTTCCAAGGGTCGACCTCTTCGATTCCGAGATGGCTCTTCGAGATGAAAAATTTACACGGAGTGTCGGGGGAAATCTCTTACGGGGGGAGTCTCTACACACATAAGAATACAGGGCACGATCCAACGTAAAGTTATACTTTTCTGTTGCGACAGAGTACGGGTCTCGTTATTATTATTATTCATTTGATCGACACGAGCGAAGCCACCAAAGACAAGGGGTTGTTACGATCGTGATTAAGATATGTCGCGGTGCGATCTTCGCGATAGCCGTCTTGAATTTTCTTCGATCGCTTGGATCAGTTAATTATCTTCACGTCGCTCGTGATTCTTCTTATTTTGTTACCTCGCTTTTCCTTCTTATCTCTTGAGAGATAGATTCACTTGCTCAATATCGGCCGATAACGTCGATTCTGGAATAATACGGTCGTACATGACTATATATTCAAAGTTGGAGTCTCGTAATAGGTAAAAGTTAAATCGCGATGGGACGGATAAAGGCAGCCGCGGGCGCGACTCACTTAGACTTGGACGAGTGGAAGGACTCCCTCTTCTCGAGGGTGTGCCGGCGCACGGTGTTCGACAGTGTCCGGGCGACGTGAGTCTTCGTTACCCGGCCGTTGTGATCGTTGCAACTCGTATCCTCCAGCCAGAACCTTAGCGGGATTTTCGGGCGGACGTAGACGAGCGCCTCGTTGCACGTTATCCTCAAGCCTAAATTAAAATACCTTTTCTTATCATACTTATCGTCAAATCGTCGGGAAATCGTCGGAGAAGGAAAAGAAACTCCGACGATATTAATTGCGACTGTCGAGGCGCCGATGCTCACTTCTGTCCGAATCCTTGTTGGACCCGCGTTCGTGTCTCGTCAGCCTGCTGCGCTGCAAGAAGAAGAAGAAAAGACACGCGTATCTTCCAGCATTTGCGAATGACAATTTCCTCGGCGATCGTTACTTTCGTTCCAAGCGCGGGGCGTAAAGACGTGCGTAAAAAGAGGGGGCGAATATATATATTTATAGGGGGATGAAGCAAGAGATTAGATCGCGGGGTGGGGGGGGGGCAGAGGGAGAGCGAGGGATAAACGAGAGATCTCGTCGTCGACGGAGAGAGCGGCTATAGTTACATCGTTTCCTCGGAGAGAACATTGCTGGCATTGGGCCGCGGCTATTTGCGTGCCGTCCAGATGGCCGTTTCGGCGATGATGGAATCCGTGCGAGGGGAGGATACACGCGCTCTGGCTCGCGTTGGCGTGTCCCAGCCTGCCGTACAGCCCGTACTTCCTCTCGTCGGCGGGTCGTAATGTGCCGTTCCTCTTCATCGCCGCGTATATCTGCTCGAGCATGCCGTAGCTCTTGATGAGAAAATCCCTCTGCGCCAGTGCCGTGATTCGCTCCCTCTCCTCGGACTCCGATATAATTTCGGGCTCGAAGGAATACAGGCTGCTGCTGATGGGAGCTCCTTGCGCGTCCTGCTTATTGATCTGCGAAAAAGCAGGCGGACGGTAATATGCTCGCGCGCGAGACGGCGGAGGATCCCGCGGGAGAGAGCGCGGCGATAATGACGCGCGATCCTCGGAATGAAACGTGGCTAAGTGGACGAGTAGCGAGGCGAGAGGAGCGGGATACATCGATGAAGTAAACGGCCGAAGATGAGTCTCGTTTTCCTCGTCGTGATCTTGAACGATAAGGAGGGGGCGGGGGGGGGAAACGCGGGTAATGCGATTGAGCTCGCGGAGAATAAGTCGATTGTGTACACTGACGCTTTTCCGGAACACGCCCGCGGATTTGCTCTTCTCCTGGCGCACGAACGGGGCTTGCAAGATCTTCGGTGCGTTCGGACTTTCCGGGCCTATCTTGTGCTCGCTCCATTTGCCGGAAATTCTCTTGCGCTCTTCCACCCGCACTTTCAGCTGAAACGTGGCAAAGCAAGCCGCAGGTCGGCTGTGAAGTCTAACAACAACAATCAACGACGAGACCGAGTGGCTTAATTTCGAAAACTGCCCACGGAGGAATCGGATCGGTTTTAGCGATTGTTGTTTCTTTCATCGTTTCTCTTTTCGTTCTTTGTTTTTTTTTTTGTATCGTCGGAAAATTATTGCGCGGCTAATATATTTTCTGCGGAACATTGCGAGACGCACTTAACGTCGTTACACGCGTCGATTATTATTGAACGCGGATGCGTTTTAACATGCTTGTAATGTGAACGCGAGGATAATTTAGTCGCGCGCGACTTTGGCACGAAATCGTGAAACGCTGTGGGAAAGTTTACCTCGTTCTCCTCCCTCTGCACCCTCGACGCTTCCTCCCGCGCTCTCGACGCCACCGTATCTTGGAAAACGGAAAGCGCACTTTGCGTGAAGAAGGGCCGGTACTTATCCTCGCCGGGGCACGGAAAGATTCTTCGAAAATTGCCCGTGTGCTCGTCCTCCCACTTAAACTGTCGCTGTATGTAATCGTCCTCATTCCTTTCGGCCTTCGTTGGAGCTGTCGCGTCGTTAGTCTGACTGCACGTTGTACATGACGTTTAGGTTCGGGCTTATCGTTCGGGCAGCTGATTCTTACTATCTACCGCGCGAGTGAAATTACTCACTGACGCGCATCGCTTTCAATCAATCAGTCGTGCAGAGCGATACACATCGCATCTCGTGAACTTCCCGGAACTTCAATGCGAAGTATGTTAAAGATAGAATTGAAGAAAAATATTTATCACAAATTTGATCCTCTGTTTGTGCGGGGTCTGCGCGAAATATCGATAGGTGATTCGGTACTCGCGTGTGCCGACAAATTAATCGCGCGGGCAGAAATCATCCCTCGACTCTCGATTTACTTGCAATCCTACCCGTTGATACCCTGAAGAAGCCGCTCCCTGATTCGTCTCCTGTCCTCCTCCATTATCTTCTTCTTGTCGTATTGCTGCAGATTTAACATGTCGAAAGTGTCCATCAGCAACCCTTCCTTCACGTCCTTATCCAGTTGAGCGTCCGTGTGAAAGCTCGGCGAGTGATTCACCTGTAGGATACATTTGTCCGATTATTTTCCGTTTCCGGAAGACGGAAACACTCTCCTTTATTCGAAACGTATTCCCAAAAGTCCAAAATTGTCCTCGAAGCTTGCTATACATGCTAAGACTGTGATACTTTTTAACGCGTTTATAAGAGATTTTTACGACATTTCGTACAAATCCACAGGACGATCTTTTGACGATACTCTTCCTTGCTTCAATTCTCCGTCTGTCGAACGCAATTTTAATTCCCAGATTTCCTTTTCAAGTAGCTTTACCTATTTGTAAGGATTGATATTTCATGATCCTTATTCTTTGCTCTTTGGAGGTCTCTCAAAGGACGAGGAAGATTTGCGTTTCTCGTTGAACGCAATAAATCAATCGTTTAATTTAATTAATTAATTCCACGCGACGGCAGGTCGAGGGGATTGTTATCTCCGAAGACCCACCTCGAGAAGATAAGGCTTGAGCTTCCAATCGATGAGAACGTCGAATCCCAGAAGCTCAAAGCACGCGGACGTCTTGTCGTGCGTGGGGAAGCACGCGTGATAACTGTGCTTCAACACGGGATACGCCGCGAGCACGGTTTTAATCACGATCTCGTCGATCTTGCCCCATAACTCGTCCACGTCGACGTCCTTCGCTCTCAGCCACTTATTCAACACCGATATCTTTCTGCAAAGCGCACGTTCTTACGTTCTTACGTCCCTCCCTCCCGATTCCTCGCTCTATCGGTCTGGCCGATTCTACGGACTCTCAAGCTCAAGCGAACCTTTTGCTGCCGATCTCGTCGTCGATGATGTACATTCGGCTGTGCTTGTTGATGGCGTAATTCGTCAGGTGCATGAACATATTGGTGGTATTGTGACCGGTCGGCTCCTTGTACTTGCTCGTCGCGAATCTAAAAATGCAACGTTCCTCGCACTCTCCGTGGGGGCGCGTCGTACGTGTGGAGTTTCAAGAAGCGAAGCCGCGATCGACAATGCGTAAACGTGCGCCGCGCAATCCGCGATGATCGAGCCTCGACAATCGAAACGTGCGTGTGACCACTAGAGAGATTCGCTTCTCGTGACGGCAAAATATTCGCTAACGCGCTACGTTTACTCGAATTCTCGATCTCGTGACGGAGCATTGCGAGCAGCGGGTGCCTCACCTGGCGAGTCCTTCGTTGTAAACGTAGATCCTGAGAGGATCGCATGACGTGATTAGTACGTAAATACGTAGGTCAAATTTGTATCCGTCTATTAAGAAGGGCTGAGGATGCGGTAAGAAAAAGGACTGTATGCATTACACTTGCTCTGCGCTGCGACTCTGCGAGATTCTTAATTACAGTTAGGATATACGTACAGGCACATATATTTCTTTTGTTTTTCTTTTTTTTTTTTCTTTACTTTCTTTCACCTTTTATTATATGAGAATTTTCTTACTCGTATACTACTGTCTCAATCTTCGTACACCAAAGGGGTCAGATCCGTATATTATTAATAAATAGATAAATAAATAAATATATGTCGAGACGATCGAGCCTCTAGGACGTCTTTCGATGTATCTTAAAATAGCGGGAAACGTGGAAAATTCTCGGCTTCTTTCTCTTCTCCTTCTATTCGCAAGACCAATCAACTCGCGCAAGTTTCCGCGGCCAATTTTTTCTACATGATTTTTTCTACACCGCGGAAAGAAACAACTGCATACACATTGATACGTACCCGTGCGATGTACATTTGACAGATCAGACGCTCGTTGGGTTTGATGTCCTTCAAGTGCCTCGTCAGGTAGATACCACGTCCTTGGCAGCCCGTGTCTGGCTTGATGATGAAAGTCCTCGGTCTACGCGATTTGGCATAAGTCATCGCGTCGCCGTGACTGGAATCCAAAATCCGAGTTTCCGATCCGCTTACACGCTCCTCATCGTCGCTTCGCACGATATCGATTATTTTTTATCGCTGTAACGCCGACCCTTCGGAATTTATGGCTCGCAACCCGAGACCGGTCATTCGAAGAAGTAAAACAGGATGTGAGTCTCGCGCTTGTAAAATAGATAAGAGCGCCTGCGATCGATCGATCGATCGATCAGCCGACAGCCACGCGTGTATTTTCTTTTTTATTACGGCACGTAAAGCCGGCTCCGAAGGGATCCGATACGTTGTTTCGTCGTGTAGCCTGTAATCACCGCCGTCTTAAATATACTCTTAAATATACTGAATATCAATTCAGATATCAAGTTTCAATTAGACTCGACCAAAAGCAAAATTAGGTCGCTCGAGGGATATTTCATCTCTTTTTCGTGCAACGATTGCGATTACATTATCAGAGAAAGAGAAATATTTGTGAAATTCGATCGACGGGGTCGAGCTTCTGACGAACGAAGAGCGGCAGCGCTCTGTTGCTTCTCCCCCGACGACCGTGTCTCGTCTCGAGGAATTTTCCGCGCGACGCGAAAAAGTTCGTCTTCGTTAGCCAGGACCGGACGACAGCGGGGCGTCGTCGTTAATTAAAGAGAGATTCTAGATCGACGTTAATACCGTCGAAATGAGCGAATTCCCTTACTCGGCGGGGAAGCACCAGGTCTTTGGGAAGAAGTTATAGTCCCGCGGGAACAATTTCAGCATGCGATTGAGGTTACGAGCGAGCAGATCCTTCCTACATATCTCCGTCATGCCGGGGAAGTGATTGACCCTCTGGAACCTCTTCATGTCCTTGGCACGCTCTATGCTGACGCTCAGGTCGGTCCAATAGAGGTCCCAGCTGCTGTCCTCCGTGACCTCCTTCATGCCGAAGTGCGCGGCCACGCGTCTAACCACGTCGTACTTGCAGTTGCTCGTGCAGATGGTTAAGAATCTGCTCTTCAATCGGTAGCTTCGGTCAACTCAGTTCGCGAGCGCGGGAAACTCGTTGCCGCGAAACTCGAGGAATCGACGAGTCGACTCCGTCAACGTACCTCCGTTTCCTCTTCTTCCTCGTCCTCGAAGTTTCCACCGCGTCGCTTTCCTCGTGCAACGGCTCTGTTTGGAAAGTTCTTTCATTCGCGTGGTAATCACTCGGATATAATAGAAGCGATTTTTCCCGTTCGCGAGTTATCTCAGCGCGTGCAATTCGCGTGTAAGGAAATTACATTCAAGCCGAGCAAACATTCGTCGTTACACCCGCATGAATCTGTCGCGTGCTCTGTACTGGATTTCATCTGGTGCAGATTTCTTTTATCCCCGGATTTCTTTTATCCGGATTCTTTCGTATATAGATTTTCATCGATATAGATTAATTCGTGTAGATATATTATCCATTTTGTACTACTCGTCGGAATGTACTTTCTCGCTTTCGGCAGGACGTACCTGTCTTGTTGTCCTTGTCCATGGTAACTTTCCACCTACGATCTTCCGGGTCATGCTTGATCGCACCTATCCTGTCGCTTGCGAACGACGAGACGAGCGGGGAATCGTCAAGGACGACGGGGCTCCGATTTTGAAACGTGGACTCGTAGGATCGCCCCTCGGAACTGGACTCGGAATCGGACTCGCCGGCACTTTCTGTCGCGTCTCCGCTTCTGAAACCGTCGCGTTTAGACCCGCGCGATGCCACTAACGAGTAGTTATCGTTGCGCTGAACGACGATCATGATCGGTGCTTTGCATTATTTTTGATTCTTTTAATCGTACTGTCATATCGCGCGCGCACGCGCGACAACGGCGACCACGACGACGTCAAGCAGTCCCGCGTGTCAAATACAACCTGAATTTAATCTTTTTCAAAGTTACATTTGCCCGGCTAGACACGATAAATCACGTGTCGTCTTCCTTAATCATCCGCGAGTCGATAACGTTCTTATCTTTCTCTCTCCGACCGAACGTTGGCAAATTTTTGCAATCCCCGAAAGTTTGTCGCGGATCCCTCGCCGTTTATTGTCTGCTATCTTCAGGCATTTCACTGTCAATTCTTTGTGCGCGCTCTAAGGCTCCGTTTGCAAAAATCGACAACGTTTTAAATTGATATTAATATTTATTTGCACTCGATATCTCGACGATGATAATACATTATTTGTCACGTCTAAAGCGGCTTCGATTTAACAATGTATATGGAATACTTCAAATCTGCCAAATTTGTGCTTGTAAAACAACCATGGGAAAAAAAAATACAAAAATCATGAAACAAACCGGCGTGTAGAACGTCGGAATGTTGTAGAGGTGAAAACTAAGAAAAGCAAGAACGGTCTCCCGCGTGGGGATTTTTTTCAGCGAAAATTGGCTCGAGACTTTTCGAAGACACGGGAGAGACATCTCCAATCCGTGTATAGCTGTGCGTGTATAGTGTGCGTACCTGTCGATATTCGCGATATTCCCGCTTAATCTCGACGAAACACTAAGATAAGACGATAAGACGACACTGCGCTGCTTTCGCCAGGGAAAATAGGCGAGAGACCGATAGGGATCGCGGCGCTGCGACTGGGCTGGGACACGCGTCGCGACGACGTCTGGCTTGACGCGACTACTGCGGCACGGTCGACATGTAAGGTATCTCGGTAGTTCGGTTTGGTGCTTTAATTACAGTGCGACGACCATATTTAGAAATTGTGCAGTTACGGAAGTAATCACGACACGAAACTTTAAATAGGTTGCTGCGCGGCAGATCGAACGCTCGCGCGCTCGCGCGCTTACGCCTTGTTTCTTGACGTTTAATTACGTTGACTTTTTGCCGTTCTTACGCGGGTTACCGGGAGCCGAGGTAAGAATTGCCGCGATATCGATCAAGTGTTGAGAACAGCGAGTAGAACAGCGACGCGGAGCAGCGCGAAAAACGGACGAGGAACGAGGTGAGTGTTCATTCGCGCGCGCGTTGTAGGGATATAGAGAGCAAGAATCCGATGCAAGTTTAATCCCGGCCTGAAAATTTCAGCCGACAATTAAAAGAGCGCGCGCAGAGAGGAGGAGAGAATCCGGCGGGAATAATATTCAACGACACGAGCCTTTCAACCGCGCGCGGTACGCGACGCGGGGGACGGATTAGGAGGAAGGCTGAAAGCAGCCGCGGCTCTATGCGGCTGTATAAAAATGTACCAAGTATAAAAAGTTTATTCGCTCTGTCCCTGGAGTTACAGTTTGGAGTTTAATTCGGGTACTTTCAAGTTCCTCATCATTTCGACGACGTCCACGGCACACCCCCAGCATAGCGTCACGCCACTTCCACCGTGGCCGTAATTGTGTATCACCTGGAGCATAAAACACGAAACAGACGAGCGTTATTATAGCGTAAGCGAGCGAGTAAAAAGCGACCGTGGAATTTTGTATTGCGCCCGAACGACGCGACTCGCGTCGCCGTCGTTGCTGCCGTCGGAAGAACACGCATACATGCATGCATGCGCGCGTGCACGTGAGTGCATGCAACAATACCGACGTTCGGCTTCTCGAGTGCAATATTTTCTGGTGACTCACCTTGAACTCCTTTCCCCCGGCCGCGCGGACATTTTCGCATTCCAGACGAACCCGCGGCCGTCCCGGCCGAAGGCCCACCCACGCGCGACTCATCCGACCTGCCTGCAATGGAAATTATGATTGAGCCGTGATTTACGTCACCCGGCCGGTCGCTCGCGACGGGCCCGAGAAATTCATTCGCGCACCTTTAAGGACGGCATCAGGCGGCAGCATCCAGCGTGAATGCGCTTCGAGTCCTCTTCGCGAACGGTGCAGTCGAAATCGTCCTCTTGATGCGTGCCACCCAGCACGACGTCCTCGACGCTACGGGCGAGAAAAATTTAAAAAGGCGGATTAACGATCGTGCTCGCATGGCGTACGTGAAAGCGCGTCATTAACGTTATTCGCTTTACTTGGGGATAATGTAATAGGTCTCGTCGTCATCCACCACGAAACACTGCATGGTCCAAGGTGCCTTCACCTTGAAGAAACTTCCATGTTAATTCTCCGGCTCGCGTATATCTCGCAGGATGATGGGACGAGACGAGGTATTGCGGGGAAGAAAGAAGCAGACTTGTCGGTTTTGACAGAAACAAGATTATTTTGGAAAGATACTTTTGAATTGAATCATTCAGTGATTTCTCATTGACGTCTTTTTCATTTCAAGAAGATCGAGGCTTAAATGTGGAATATTTCCACGTCCGTGTTGAAGCGCGCAGGCGAATTCGTGATCGCGTAACTTTTCGCGAGCAATAATTCGAATCCGTGAGGAAGAAGGTAGTGAGGGGAGGGGGGGGCACGCTGCAATGTAAATTGGACGGTCGATTACCTTGTATACCTGACCTCTGATAGGTGTCACCGTTTTATCCGGGACGAGTTCTCGTGCACCGAGTCCGCTGCAATTTATTATCAAATCGTACCCTTCCTCGGCCAGCTCGTGCAACGCTTTCACCTTCCTCCTCTCCATCTCTCCGCCCAGATTACTGAACTTTTTCATGAGCCACGGCAACAGTAGAACCGGCTCGGAGGTGTACGTTAAAAAGTGCCGTCCCATCCTGAAATCGTTAATTCGACGATAGTCGAGCATTGCCGACGTCTCAGAGCACGATCGACTTATACTGTAAAAATATAAGTGGCAACGCGGAAGATAGCGACGCGCGTTTGTTCGCGGGCGAATGTTTGCGATAGTAATCTAATTTAGGGACGTATCACGAACTTCAGGCTGATAGAGCTCGTTTGCAGAAGCGCGAAAGAGATCGTCGCGGGAACGTCACTTTGCAGCTTCTCCAAGTTGACGGGAGAACGTACTTGTAATTAGACTTGTGCTCCTCGTTCAGACGCCGTAATTGCTCGCCGCTGAGTTCCTGAGCGCCGTAGACGAGTTTCAGCCATGCCAGATCGGTGTCGCACTCGTTACCGCTGATAACGCGAATTACGGGTATCAGAGAGACGCCGGTCTCCGATGATAATCCAGCTTTCCACAATTGCTCGAGCCAGCGATGAGTGCGGCCGGCCCATCGGCTAACGCCATATACGACGATACAAGATATTAATTACCGCGTCTTACTCGCGCGTCGAGCGTTAAGCGCACAAGTCGTGTTATTTATCGTGTCATTATACCGGTGCAAAAATAACGAGGAGAGCGAAGGGTGCTCGACAGTCTCCTCCGCGCGATCCTTCGCTTTCGCGCGACCTCAGGTAGTCACGATACGTTCTTTCCCTTTTCTTTTTCTTTTTTTTTTATTGGGGAAGGACACAAAGGGGATGTACTCACTATATATCTTCGGCGGGCGTGTCACAGAGAAAAAAAGGACTCCACAGACCGGCGCTCCCATCGCCGGTGGTGTCGGGTGAAAACGCGTCGGCGAAGATCTTCACGTGGTAGTTCGGAAAAGCGCTTTTCACCGCGAGCGCGCTCGTTACTCCTATTACACCGGCGCCGACTACCGCCACGCGCATCTTCCTCGCAGATTTTCACAGTCGCCTCTTTTCTACGGGGATTAACGTCGCTATAGCTTCGGCGAACAGTTTCGGTGTACTTCTGTACTTCGACGCTGAATAGGGGGCTCTCGTCGATTTTAATTCTATTTTCAACGAGACTCTCCTTCTTTCGTCGGAATGAAAGTTTAAGAGAAAGGAGGATCAAGGATTAAGTCCTCCGTTTCCCCGTGTATACTCGGTGATATCTTTTAACGTGTATATATTTACGTAATGTTACTCGAAATGGACTTGTTCGTTTCTCCGAAACTGTTCGAAAAATTAATCGCACCGGGGCCCAAATTCCCCTCGATTTGTCACGCGGCATGAGGATAATTATGCAGCGATTCCCCGAAAATTCGCGGAGTTGTTACTCCGTCATATCTCGTTAGAGAACGTAAAACGCGACACCTATATTTTTACATTCCTGACATAGCAATCGAGGTACGACCGTCACAGCGCGACCATACTTTGTCGGCGTCCGCGGCATTGAGGAATTAAACTCACCGAAATTGTGTGCCTCCCGAGCTCTCCTCTCCTCTCCTCTCTCTCCTCTATCGCGTGCCTGCAGCAGATATACGCGCGAGAAACGCGTTCGCGACACCGCAGGGGTCGACGAGGACGCGGCCGCGAAATTAATAACGTGGCTCGTATCGTCCGCGCTCGGTGAATTCTTCGCGTGAATTGTCGTCACGATACCACGACTGTATGCGCATCTGTAGCGCACAATAATAACAATAATTGTCACAGGGTCGAGGGGATCGATAACCCCGCTGAGAATTGCGAAAATATCTTCCGGACGTTGCACAGATGCGCACCTAATGACCACTGCGGCGCGAGCGGCTGCAACTTGGGTTATTAAAATGGCGCGACGGACGAGAAGGAGAGATTGAGTGCACTCCGCCATCATCCGCTACGATTACATCGTTATCGCGTCCTTCAAGCGTCCAGGTGAAACACGAGTATCTGTATTGTTATCGTGACGATCTAAAAAAATTAACCGGTAAAAATGGTTCCCCGCTGTGTAGATAAATCGCAAGTACGCAGATAAAGCGCGCTTCACGTTCGTTCTCGCGGCACTCGCTCGATCTCCGGTAAGTGGCGAGAAAATGGTGAATTTTACGTTTCACAGGTCACCTCGAGATGCATCCTCGCGCATTCCGCTATCACGAGGAGCCGCGGTGGCGTGCGAGCGACTCAGCTCAGATCCTCGCAGAGGTTCTACCGTGCATTCGCGATACCTCATATTTCTAGCATAATGCCTCGCTACAACACGGCTGAGTTATGCTGGAATATGGGACTCGCGAAAATCGAGCGTGCCAGCAGAGTCCTTCCGTCTGGATTCCGCTCGCCGTCGGCGATCCGTCGGATGATTCTGTCGCAACCGTACCGTAAGTAAACAGAGCATAATACTTCCAAGAGTTCTCTACAAAGTTTTTATACCCTGTTTACCGACAGTACAGCGCGCACATTTGGCACGTTGAGTCACCTCAACAAAACGGCGAATACTGTCGGATGGGCTGATCGCTCGAAGCGTGGATCTAGTTCGATATCTGTCGCACGCGAAAACAAAATTATTTTCCTCGTAATTATTTTCTTCGTAAAACCACGGCAAGACGTTCGAGAAAAGAGAGATCGGTATTTCCGCTACACTGTCGAGTCGATGAGCACCACAATTAAGAGGCTCCGTAAGTAAATGAAATATTCCGGAATATTTCTTTCTTCAGAAGTAATTCGTAGCGCTCTTTTAATCACTCGGTATTTCATGCAATTGAAAGCCGAAAAATTCTTTTTCAAAATTTTCCGACAATGTATATAGTACTTGAGAAATCTCATTATATCTCGTACTTACTCGATTCTCATCATTTCATTCCGGCTCGAAATCGCAGCCTCTTTTCGCAGTCTTATCGAAATCATTTCTGTCCCGACTTCGCGACGATTTTTGCACAATCGCGGCGGTATCTTCGACGATTGCGAGGTCTGAGAATTTGTCGAGCCGCGGGTGACGTCGCTCCGAGATTTTGGATCTTTCCCAGAGCGAGAAACTTCTTCGACCCGACATTTCACGATTCGATCCTCGTCACTGAACTCAAGATGTGAAGTGCCGTCGTTCCATAAGACGACTGGCTGAAGTGCCTGATGACACTTCGATATATAGAGTATTTATTTACACCGTATGCGAGTGCCCTAGACATAATATGGCCCGGAAATGCGATAAAGGGTGTAGGTGACAGCACGAACGAAGGCAGAACTTATCGTCGCGAACGTCCTCTCGTGCGTCATTATTTTCAGAGGAATTTTATATTACGTCGCGTTTTTATTCTCGTTCCGTATTCTCGCTAAAGCGCACGGTTTTGCGCCAACATTTCTCTCGACACTGGCTTTTTCCTCTGATGCTCTCGGTGCTCTCTTTATTTTCGGACGCATCGATATCTTCCTATTTTCCACGGATTCAAAATGCGAAGAGTCGGTGGGGGGAGCTGCATCCGTGATTACGTCGTTTCACGAATCTGAAAAAGATAATAACAGTCGGTCGCAAAATTTCTCCAATACGTCGCTCGTCTGAAACGGTCCCGGTGGATTTTCATTTTCTCCGACGACTACGTGAAATCATTTTGACACGAAAGTACCGAAGGAACGCGAAGAAACACAACCACTTCTCAATCCTCTTAGTAAACCGACTCAATCAATAATCGACCTAATAATTAATAGTAAATTAGGATTACCGAATTCGCGAAATGGCGAGCGAAATTCTCGTAGTTTTCTTCTCGCGCAGTAAAGAAGCGTAAAAAGCACAGGAGACGTTACTGTCGCGGGATCATCTGACAGTTGTGTTCCGAACTGGCGATAACGAGTCGATGTCACCCCGGCGAGGAGAGATCGGTAAAAATATCCGCTCATTATCGCGATACACCTGATCGCACTCGCGATCAGCCGGAGTAGCCTGAGGAATATACTTGCGGCTACAGCTGCGGCCGAGTCATTCTTCGGTTTCGGATTCGGATAACGGACACTACACAAACTGGTCGAAGTGTTATCCGAAACCGTCAACAGCGATATAAACGTCTCTTGCAGCGTTCTGTGACGCAGCGATGAGCTTCTTCGAGTCTTTCAATGAACGTCGTTTGACGGTGGTTAAATCACGTTCGCCGCGGCGAACAATGATTCGCCTCAAGACTTCACTCGATCGCGCTGAACCTACGAGGAAACGAATTTACCCTTCTGTGAAAACACCGAGAATCTCGTTCATTTCATGTCCTTCCAATCGATCGTTTTTAATTTCTAATAAATGGATGGATAAAGTATCAATTTTAAACATAGGAGATGATTTTCTTTCTTTTTCAAGACGCCGCGCAAGCGAGAGCTTTCCTCTCTCTGTCGTCGCCTCGTTGTACGACGTTGCCTCGTTCTCTATATGAGAGAATTGTAAGATTGCATATAATTAATCGAACTCGCTACGTATTTACATACGTACATGTTTCATGAATTCTTGATTGATTTTCGAGCAAGTGCAAAACAGTTTTACGCGCGATCGACGGACGGTGTGCCTCTTCTCCGTTTGAATTCACGGCGAACGGCGTTCGTCGCGCATGCGCATTCCGTTTAACAACACCGGGCGCATCTGGTGTCTCTAGCATGAGATGGCTACACGTTTGCCCAGAGAGAAGGAGAGGTGTCATGGGCCGCTTTTAGCCGAGCCCAGTGTGAGGCGCCCTCTGTACAACCGTGCACATCAACTACGATGCTAATGCCACGACTTTTTTTTTATTTCCCCCACCACGCACGCACCCATAGCCGGCTCAGTCTATCCGTGTGGACCACGCGCTCGGCTCGGTCGCCTCGCGCCGGCGCCGCTGCCCCGCGGCTTCTCACTAGCTTTGCTACCCTGGGTCAAAGCCGCGGGGCAGCGTCGCCGTCGCTCGGCTCTGACCCAGACTCTAGCCAGTCGCTACCCGTCGGGTAGACTGAGCCGGCTATGTGTGCGTGCGTGGTGGGGGAAATCAGAAAAGAGTCGTGGACATTTGCATCGTAGTTGATGCGCACAGTTGTACAGAGGTCGCCTCATACTGGGCTCGGCTAAAAACGGCCAATGACACCTCTCCTACTTCTCTCTGCTTTGGCGCTCGGCGGCAGGAAATGAGAAAGAGAAAGAGAGAGAGAGAGAGAGAAGTTACGAGGTAGTGCAGAAAGTGCAAGTGTACTTTTGAGCGAATATAACGTTAGACACCGTTAGACGAAAGTTTACATATGACGCTGGTACTGAGTATTTATAGCATAACGTACATTTGTTAATGTTATAATATTATCGGGATAAGTTACGTACAGTACGTAAACGCGTGATCGGATTATCTACATTATTCGGTTAACGCGGCTTGTGTCTTTGACGAGTCTCCGTTGGAAATGGTATAACCTCCAACGCGCGGTGTAGTACGTAGAAGGTGCTTGTCAAGCGGGAATTTTGTGCAACGCAAGTGTTATTAGTGAAACATATTTTGTTGGCACAATGTTCGAAGCGCATAGCATCCTTGCGGATCATAAAGATCTCATACATGATATCGCCTACGATTTCTACGGTCAACGAATGGCAACATGCTCGACCGACCAATGTGTTAAGGTACGGTAAACGCAATGATGCTTTACGTTAATAAAGATCTGAGTTGTTACTGTATTATTTACAAGAGAAATAACGTTGTAAATTGTAAACGTTTCTGTGTTGCGAAATGCGACAGGTTTGGGACGAGGACGAGCATGGAAACTGGCACTTGACCGCGTCTTGGAAGGCTCACAGCGGTGCGGTGTGGAAAATCACCTGGGCACATCCAGAGTTTGGTCAGGTTCTCGCCACTTGCTCGTTCGATCGCACCGCTGCTGTCTGGGAGGAAATTGGTACTGGGAATTTATTTGTGATACACGACAGCTTGACTGTATTTTTTTATTTTCTTCTCTTCATGTCTCCTTTTTTATTTGACAGTTGGCCAAGGTTCTGGATCAGGAGCGCGTGGCAGTAGGCATTGGGTTAAAAGAACAAACCTAGTGGACTCCCGTACTTCTGTCACAGATGTAAAATTTGCACCAAAGACTTTGGGTCTCTTGTTGGCTACTTGCAACGCGGATGGATTTATCCGAATATACGAGGCACCGGATATCATGAATCTGAGTCAGTGGACATTACAACATGACATCAATTGCAGACTTTCGTTGAGTTGTCTTACATGGAATCCATCTCTGTCAAGGTATTACACAATGTACGAGAGATAATGTAGAACTAAATATATTTGACACTTGTGTGATGCAATGAATATTCGTTGAGAATTCAGGAAAAAGCGTAACATAGAACATAAGTATATATGATGTGATACCAATTTGATGAAAACATGTTTCAGGCTACACCCACCCATGATTGCGGTAGGTAGCGACGATACAAATACATCTAGCGGGGCGAAGGTATTTATTTACGAATATTCCGAGAGTAGTAGACGTTGGACGAAGGCGGAAGCGTTGTCGAGCATTACGGATGCCGTTCACGACATCGCGTTCGCTCCTAATTTAGGCAGAAGTTATCACACGCTGGCCATAGCCACGAAGGACGTGCGGATAGTTACCTTGACACCGACTCAGTAAGTAGAACGCGAGTTAGAAGGGGAAGTCGATAGGCGGATCGCGAGGATGGTGCGACGTTATGCATTCTTTTCTTTTAAGGGACAATATGCAAAGTGACGTGTCGCGTTACGAAATAACCGTGGTGGCGCAGTTCGACGATCATTACTGTACCGTGTGGCGTGTGTGCTGGAACGTCATGGGAACGATTCTGGCGAGTTCCGGCGACGACGGCTGCGTCCGCCTGTGGAAAGACAATTATAACAACAATTGGAAGTGTGTGTCCGTTCTCAAAGGAGACGGCACCGGTCAGAACGCCGAGACACCGGCGACTCCGCCGAACTCGTCGGCCGTGCAACAGCCGCCGTCTACCACCAGGTACTACAAATTGGGTTCCATCAGTCACCCAAACCAAGTACCTTGGCATTAGAGGGCCCGATCAATTCCTAGAATAAACAATTGCCAGTTATTTTTTTGCGTTTTACCGTTTATCGCGCCGTTTGTACCAGATGGAAAATACAAGCTGTACACTCTCTGTTACGATAAAGATTGCCGTTCACCCGCATTCTCCTGTCCACGTAGACCTCCTCCCTCTCCGCTCCTCGGCTTGTTTCGTTTATAATTTGAATGTCCTCGCGACTCGCGATTCACTGTAACGTGGGAGATGTCCGTGTTCTGAATCGTAGTTGTAAGTGCTGAACGCTTATGTTACTTTACACCGCATAACGCACTATTCTTATCGAGGTGATTCTGTTCTCCGGCTCGCATTCGTCTCGCATCGCTGTCTCTGCAAGTTTCGAAATTCTGGAACGTTCACTCGACCGGGGCAATTCTTGCAGTGCAAGATTGCCTTGAAGGGTACATCTTATCGTGCGTAATAATATGCATTCGGTTATTACAATTCGACGTATGATTAAAATAAGATACAATGGAAATTAGACGCAGAGAGAAGATTATCTCGCAAGTTCGAAATTTTTACGAAATTTCTCCCATTGTCGCGAAGAAACGTTCGAAATGACGTTCGAGAGATTTGTAACACACAGACACACACATACTCCGTTTAATCAATTAATAAAAGCTGCATTTCTGCATCGCATCTTGTGAATATCTTTTCATTTCTCTCCTCCTTCGGTCTATGCCTTTGTTGAGTCTCGCCACCGTCGTGGCACTTGTTTATTTCTGGATTCTTTGCAATAACATTCGGCAAGAATGCAGGCGCGCGCAGCCGGGTCTTTCGTTTGTCGCATTTTGTCACGTTCTCCGCGCAGGACTCTACTCTGGTTCGTTCATAGGTGTTGATAGGCCGTATTTATAGTTAGAGCAGCACGCGACTCTCTCTCTCTCTCTCTCTGTTTATATCTATTTCTCTCACACTCTCGATGCGCCTCTGAATAATCTTTGTTACCATTTCAGGACTGTAAGCATAGCGACGGTCACAGCGGAGAAGCCGACAGCTACCGTTGTGTGCAGTAATAAGTGGCAGCCGCCCGTTATAAAGGGCCGCTTTAGTAAATCCGTATGGTTGGGTAATCCCAGCGAGCCGACTCCGCCACCACCGCCGATCTTAGAATGCCCGAAAGCAAAGAAATAATTGCGGAAAGAACGGGAAGAAGCGAGCCGCTCGCGTCTCTATCTCTCTCTCTCCCCCTTCCTCTCTCTCTCCCCCTCCTCTCTCTCTCTCTCTCTCTCTCTCTCTCTCTCTCTCTCTCTCTCTCCCTCTCTCTCTCTCTCTCTTTCTCTCTCTCGCGCGTCGCACGACTCTCAGCAACGCGTGATCTTTTAAGTATTATTCGTGCGCGATATTCGCGGTATCGCACACGCGCGCAGATGTAGATCCGATTCCGACGTAACGCGGAATTCGCGATGTAACGCGCGTGCAACGCGTTTCGATGCGCCGTTTGTCGCGGAATCAACACGGAAGATCAATCTCAGTGCTGTCTGATTCTCCGTGACGCGATTCGTCGGACGTCACACATCGATAAGCGCATTGTGATAATTGCTGTTTTCGGCGTAATACTTACTTTATTTTTTCTTTTTGTATTCTTTTATTGACGTTTTAAGATAAGATTTTTCTCGCACAGCGCAGAGAAATTTTCGCGATGATTCCGTCGCTTTCGAATAGTATTTTTTGGCAGGCATTTTTCGGAGGCCCGATCAATGCCGCTCGACTTTTTCGCTCGATGTTTATTATTATTACCGTTTACGTGAGTACCGTGTGCGTAACGATTGTCTTTCATGCGACAGCACAGCTACATGCGCGTGCAGTGCGTTTTTACGAATTATTAGCCTGACGTTATCACGATTCTTTTTTTCCGGGATTCTTTTTTTCCGGGTGAAATCCCAGATACCAGATAGGAACATGAAAATAAAACGTTTCGCTCGACGAATCTATGTTGGTATGTTCATTTTTTTACAACTGCAAATCACTGTAAATCAAATAGAAATTGTAACATAATGTAAAAATCATGTACAATACGCAAATATAAAAGTGGAGTGAAACGGATACGAATAGTCTCCGACTGGACACACGTGTTATTTTTTTTACTGTGTGATTACGATACATCGATGAGATTTACGATGAAATAACGACGGTGGGGTTGCGTGTTACGGCTCTCAAATCGCGACATTCACGTCGAAGAACAATTCCCTCGATGTATTCAGATCGCTTGAGCTGCCTCGCGAAGAGCACGCTGCCACGAGGGTATTACAGACGCGCGGATTTTCTGCTCTCGCACAGACAGCAAATTTCCGGTGTGCGAAGGCCGAAAGTAACGCGCGTAAATGTGTATAGAACATAATCGAAATTTCAGGAGACGATGATGAATCTCATAGCCGAATCGACGAGAGAAAGTCTGCTGGACGTGGTGCGGCGCAATCTCCGCGCCGCGGGTCGTGTAAGTACCGTTGAAATGTTAAATGGTATGTTAAGTGGAATTCGATAGTGCTAATTGGAAGTTTATCGCGGACGTTACACGTTTCTTCGGAGGTGGAATCTGACGGGTGACGCGACGAAAGATTTTGCGGGGGAATTATTCGTAGGATAAAATCGTTACATCGATTCTGTCTCGACGGGACCCAGCAAACACAATATTACATGTAACGTGCATGTTAGTTGTAATTTCCTACTCAACAATATAACTGTTATATAACTAACATGCACGTTACATGTAATATTGTGTTTGCTGGGGAGCGTACGATGCAAACTTTGCGAAATGCGCAAAGAGAACGTAACACGTTAGAGAGAGAAACTTAAAACTTCGGCTCGTCCGTTCAAGTCTATTCCTTCAGATTCTAACGAGTATACACCGCGCGTCGTGTTTCCCCATTTCTTTTTCAGAAAACTTACGTTACGCGAGTCGTTTACTTCGGCGAATACCACGGAGCTTACGAAGTTTTGTCGAAGGTGGGTGTTACATCGTAAGTCACACGAGTCCGTACTTTCACGTAAACTTTTGCGGCCATAAATGAAACGCAACCCCTGCGAAGGATTCATCATAAATCTCAAGCAATGCCAAGGGTAATCGCGAGAATTCAACCGCGGTGGTTTCGACGATATGGGAGGGAATAATTTCCTGTTGGGAGTACAAAGTGCCTTGACGCGATAATATCCGAATTCTCTCGCCTGTTGGTCGCCATTAAAAAGTCAATCTTCTCTTTGCGCGATTTCTGTATTATTGCGTTTTACAGAGAATGGAGGATATTATACACGACCTACGCGCGGATTACGACGACATGCCCGTCACAGGATTATTCCTCGTTTATCCGACGTATTACGTTCACGTGTTGGAGGTATTTCAGTATTCTTCGCACTTGAATTAAATCTTACAATGAATTATTAGTTCCGTCCTCTACAAATATTACTAGACTGAGAACTTCGTGCCGTTATTTTCCTTTTTTCTCACGATTACGGTACTCGATCGTTCATTTTACGAAGTGCGAATATCGCGACTCTGAAATTGACATTCTCGAGAAACAGGCGTGGGAGGATATTATTTACAAGCATTACGAGCTCATGTACGCCACGGAGGACGATGAATGTAAATTCGGGAGAGCGATTCCCCTGCCTTCGTACCATCACGTTCATCAAGTCAGTAACCCGACGCGATGTATGTTATGCGGGATAATTGTGCATAATTAAATTGCGTTTCCAGAGATTCTTCAGCGAGTGGCTTCACGTATACACGATACCACCCACGTTGCTGGGAACGTTGGAAGGCTACACTTTGGAGCACATTCAGAAACAAGTCTCGAACTGCTTGACTAAGGTGTACACGTTATGCGAGTTCATAGCGAACAGCGTGCGCGAGAAGGTTCGTGAAACCGTCCAGAATCACGAGGGAATCTGGAGGATTATAAACTATCGTCATACGAAGCTTCGAGGAATCCCTTTCCGATGGATTCTCGATCCGAGGTCAAGAGAATCACGCGTAAGAGTCCCTCCGTCGCTTGATTTCGGTTTCATTCGATTTTACAGTCGATCGATGTTCGGGCCGCGTTGCACGGCTTGGGCGGCAAGGCGGCGCAATACCTGCCGGAGAGCACGGTCCTCGAGTTCCTCTTACAGGTGGAGTCGCCCGTTCTCGAGACCGTCGAGGATCGCTTACGAATGTACTCGGACATGTCGCCGAGCGAGTTTTGGGACGGTAAGAGATGTAATCATATTGCGTGTTAATTCATTTCGCTCGGGATTATTTTTGTCGCAATCGATAAATGATCGTTGGGCTTCGATATCGGGTATCAGTGATAAATTGAACCTCTTCGGGGATAAATTCAGTAAAATCCGAAAATGGTTTCACTTTTAAGTAACATCTGCCAACCGCGACGAAATTCCTCTTCTTCTCGCGGAATTTCTGCTGAATATTTATTCCGCAGTAATATTTGCTACACTTGCCGACGCGTTTGACTCAAGCAAAGAAAAAAAGAAAATTCAATGTAGAATTAAGCTATGTATATGTATCGCTACTCCTTCAAAGAGTCATTTCCTGAAGTGGTTAATTATCATTGACGGACCAAGAGGTCCGTCTACGGCTCTTTTCCTTCAGCATGAACTCTTGAAAGACGAAAACTCTCAAACGCTTTCAAGTTGGAAAGTTCTCACTTTTCACGAGTGCACGCTGAGAAGCGAGACTCACGACTGAACTTCAGCAGCCTTTCTCCGACCGTTGATGCCACGACCGGGTCGGGGGTTGCAGTAAACATTCGTCGCGTGAATAAAAACGATTATTTATTTCAGAATATTTACAATATCAAAAAAACGTTCTGGTATGGGGAGGGTACATGAGACTTGTGTGTCGGAGACAGTTCTAAACTAAGTACATATACAAACTTCAATGCTGTCTCGCGCAAGCGGCGGCTGGTCAGGTCCGATCGTTACTTATTACAACACACAGGGCAGTAATGCGCGCGCGACGGTTACTCGCGAACGAGGAATCCGCTCGGATTCCGCTCGGCGATCCTCCGGTGTCGCTCGGCAGGCATAAACTCGTCTCGATATTACTTCCTCGCAGATAACAACGTCTGGCCACCGCCGTGCAGTCTCATGCCGGCCGACGTGTTCGACGAGCGGGGCCATCGGATGATTTCGTTTGCGCAATTGGAGTGTCATCTGAACAACGAGTAGACACGCTTCGGCGAGATTGACGGTTGCCCCCGGATCGTTGGGGTGGAAGAACAATCGGGGCATCTCGCGCGAAGTAACGAGCGAGTTTCTCGCCGTCGAACGTAAATCGTCCTCCTCGGTGTCGCGAATGTAACGCGCAGTCGCTGTCGAAACGCGCCGTTAGAAAAGATGTGTTTTTCGTTTTTTGTTATTAAAAGTTACCACGATAGCTGCACAGTGCGCGCGCGCGCGCGCGCACATGCACGCACGTGTTTTGAGCGGAACGATCGCGCGAACGAAGAATAGAAACTTTGGCAGTTTGAAGTCCGGGTTTGTTGTTTTTATTTATTGTACGATTTGTTTTTCTCGTGGCGTTTCTAACTTTCTCGCTTTCTTTTTCTTTTCCTTCCCCCCCCCCCTCTCTCTCTCTCTCTCGCTCTCTTTCGCTCTTTCGTCGGATCTCAGTGGGACCTTCATTGTCGCAGCGCTCCTTACCGCGTACGCTTACAGTCTCTCTCTATGCGTGCAAAAGTTATAACAAGGGGGGCGGGCGGGAGGAGCGGGGAATTCGTGAGCCGGTTTTTTTCCAGGATCGCTAGAAATTCTCCTCGACAGCAGTACACACGATACAATCTGCGTCCGACATCAATTCCATTAATGGCAATGATAATAATTAGAATAATAATAATAATAACGATCAATGTGGTTCATCTCTCCCTTCGATAAGTCAGATCTCGCGTGGATGACGTAACGTAACGCCTAGTGATCGAGGAAACAATTTGTATCCGCCTAGAAATCTCCTTGGGACACATTATGGCTCGTAAAAATGCGCGCGATTCATCGTTTTCTACGTTCTTTAAACATCGAATAATTCGCTAAGTATCCACAATTGTCCGTCGTTTCCCTCGGAAAAGGCGCGAAAACGCGGACTCGCGTACGCTTCGCGTTCGTGTGCAAGACCCGTCTCTCTTCCCACCTCTCTTTCTCTCCTTTGGCATATTCGCGCATAACAAACTGTGACGGTGCAACGACTGCAAACTTGCAAGCTAAATTCCGTCTATTGGTCAATTTACGCAAAGTTTTCGTTTGATATACGCACGTTTGATAGGCAAATATACGCGCCACTTCGGCGAAACTTTGACTTTGGCAGCATCTGCGCGTCGAAGAGAAAGATAGAGAGAGAGAGAGAGAGGGAGGAGGGTGTAACAAGATCAAAGTGAGCTCCATTTAATGATTATATTTGCTAACAGAGGTAAAGACGTCCGGGGTGTGTTTAACGACAGGGACGCCGGAGAGAAATGGCCGGATCTTTCAGTGAAAATCAAAGGACAATTTTGCCACGAGTTTCTACCCCGTATTTGTTCGAATAAGTCGATAGACTGTCGCTTCACATCGCGTTGTAACATAACGGCGAAAGAACAGAAAAACGGGCTGTAACACGCGCGAGCGTAAAAATATGATTCTCTTTTTACCTCTCTCTCTCTCTCTCTCTCTCTTTCTCTCTCTCTCTCTCTCTCCCTCCCTCCCTCCCTTTTTCCCTTTCACATTATGCGCGCTCAGCCGTATCGGATGAAGCACGCTCTATTCCTCACGCAAAATCCTTGCAGTCGCGTGTCCTGGAGAGCGCAGTCTCACACACGAAAATCAACCGGCGCGCGAGTCGGAGCGAAAAAACACAGATTATCGTCCCTCGTAAACGGGTGAGAGATTGGACGCACGTCTCGCACGTATGTGTAATTACACGTTAAATGTACCGGCCAGCAGTTGACACCTCGATATCGAGAGGGAAGCTATACATTCAAGTTCCACCTTACCTCTCTCGCGGATCGGCCAGCAGCCAGGAGGGAGGAGAACCGCGCCGTCTCCATCGCCACTGCCGCCAGCCGCCGTCGACGACGACAACAACGGTGACAACGACAACGACGACGACGACGATATTATCCCTGTACTGTACGGAGGATATGACGAGGCGCCCTTCGACGACCCTTTTAAAGCTATATAGTACAAAGAGAGGCTAGGAGCGGTAACCTCCGAATGAAGTACCAACGAGATTCACAAAGCGTCGAAACAGGCAGTAATTAGAAGTGCTATCGCGATTACGCATCACATACGTTTCGAGGAACACCCTGATCGGCCGTCCTCTCTGTCGCTCTCTCTCTCTCTCTCTCTCTCTCTCTCTCTCTCTCTCTCTCTCTCTTTCTCTCTCTCTCTCTCTCTAGAGTAAGATCAAGACTTTGAAAAACAACGTTCATCGTACTCGGTACATTTACTTCGAAGGAAGTCGTTACTTTATACATTGTACAAGAGATACTTAATCTTACGTTGTAATCCAGAATACTGTAGACTGTGACGACAACGATAGGGGATTTTTACCTATTCCCTTCCCTCTCTCTCTCACATACACACACACACACACACACACATACACACATATACACATGCACCCTCTCCTTCGTCGCCTCGTTACTTCGACCTCGTGATCTTCGTCGCCCACGACTCGATTTCCCACGGATGGAGATACAAACGATATGTCTCTGACACAACTTGATTCTTCCGTGTTTTCTCTCTCTCTTTCTCTCTCTCTCTCTCTCTCTCTCTCTCCCCCTCTCTCTCTCTCTCTCTCTCTCTCTCTCTCTCTCTCTCCCCCCTCTCTTTCCCGTCGTCGGCCCTGCGCGAGAGAGCACCGTCTCATCGTTTGCCGTTCCTATTTACGCGTTGTCAACGTTATATAAATAATTACACTGCGCTCACGGCACGGCGCGGCACAACGCGGTGTGACGCGGCGACGATTATCATCATCCCCCAGTTCAGTGTACGTTATTCTGGCCTTCTGGCAGCGCCTCCCCCAACGACAACTTAACGCATATACATATTTATACTTACATCGACTAGACAAATTGTACAGTGTTATGTCATAGTAAAAGTGGGAATGAACCATTAATATATATATATATATATATGTGTGTATATATATATATATATGTATATGTATATATATATATATGTATATGTATATATATATATATATATATACATATATATATATATATATACGTGTCTCGTACAAAATATCTTCTGCGTCTCGAGGTATGTACAAGTACGGCAAACTCGCGCTCGCACACGCATACATCGTAAAACTCACACACATATACACTCTCTCTCTCTTTTTTTCTTTACCACACGGCTCCGTCGCGAGGCTCCACCGGGGGGTCCGGTCGCGAAGAGCTAACGGCGCTGACGCGAGAAAAGCCGGCGAGGAGAACCGGTCGGGGCTGTTCGTCGTCCTTCGGTGTGAAAAGGGCACTTGATTCAACAGAGAGACGCGAATCCTGACGATTGGAGGAACGTAAAATCCGTCCGACTCGAACCGGCTCACGCGCGTTCCAAGCGTCCCGAACGACACGCCGGACGTCCCGATTCCCTCCCGAGGACTTCATCTCGGGCTACCGAAGGGATACGTCTCCTCCTTCCGTCACCAGTCTCAATCATCGAAATCGTTAACAAACACTCAGGTCTTTCGAACTTCCTTCGATCATGTCCTGCCTCCCCTCCAAACGACGCGTCTTCTTAATCTATCCCGGACGTTTCTCTCGGCGTTGAAAAGCTCTCTCCGAGAAGAAAGAAAAATCGCAATTCTACGCGCGAGAGACGTTCCCTAGTCGTCGCGCGTCCTCCGGAGACCTCTCAATTGTCCTTCAGACCATCGTGTCGTTCGGGACTCGCGGCTATCTCGCGATCGACAAGGGTCGCTCATAGCAGTTCGCTCACGCTGCACACGGTGCAGGCCCCGTGGTGGGTGTAGGGTCACACGGAGCTCTCCCGCTTGGCCATCACCACCGGCGTGCTTATCGTCCCGTCTTTCTGCGACTGCACCGGGCAGCATTGGCCGGGCACCCTCGCCTCGCCGCAGTCCTTCGTCAGTAACGTGCCGCTCGGGCAGGTCCTGCTGACAACGCCCAGGCCGGCGTACAACATCGGAGGACTCATCGACATCGACATCGACTGGACGCTCTGGCTGGGCCAGTGCTGCCTCGGCAGGGTGCAAATGCCGCTCTCGTACACGTCGCCCACCATCGGCTGAAACTGTAACGCGTCACCTTTTGACCTTTCGTCCGTCACTGGTTACCGTGGCTGGTCTATTAACGAACAAACGAGCAAACGAACGGCCGTCGATGCTCGACGATACGATTGTACGAAAAGCGTGAAGTAATTATATCGAATCGGTCAAAAAATACGGCTCGATCTTTCTCGCTCGGACTCGATTCTATTGCATCTCTCTCATGGAAATCGATTCTTCATCAACCGAGTAATTGCTGTTCTATCATTCATGATTCTTCGTCAGTGTTCGAGCAGCGAGATATTACCGGTATTGTTCTCAACTTGATCCTGCAAAATCCGTCAACCTTGGAGGAGCAGAGGAGGATTTTACAGGATATATCGTTTTACTTCAATGCGACAAATGGCGAAATGTTCTGCGTAAAAAAAATGTCCTATCTCAGAAATATTTATTAACCGACTATCTCAATATTCTGTGTTTGCATTCGATTTTTATTTTCCAATTTCTACGAGCAATGAATTAATCGAACGAATTAACTGCAGATAGAATATGTATAATGAGCAGATATTAAATAATTTAACAAAGACTAATGGGCGAATGTAATTAATGGGTCAGCAAAATAACAAATTTCACTCCTTTCTGATGCCTACATTATTTATTTTTGGCGTTGGAAATACGCATGGAAATATGCATGAAATATATGTCTATTATTTATTGGTGTCACGGTACGACTGTGCCGTTTGATGCATCTGGAAATGTATGATGTATCGCTGCTCGCGTCCTGCATCCCTCATCCTGGCTTCCCGATACAACATCCTGCTCCTGACTGCACCGTCATGACGCTCCCTATAGCTCGTGACACTGACACCCGTCTGAATACGATTCGATCGGGGCAAAAAAAAAAAAAACGCGCGTTAATTAACGCGACGTCGCCGAGAGAGTCCGATTAAACGTTTCAAGAGTCGACGAAATATGTCGTCGAAATCGAAATATGAGCGTTGCGTAACACGCGACACTCGGCGACGCGGGAAAGTATACGTCGCGTGGAAATATCAAAATAATGGGCAAGAAGTGCAAGCACATCTCCTCTCTCGCCCGAGTCGTCGGCTGCTGGCGATCGCGACAAATAAAGTAATCCGAACCTTGACGGAAGTCGAATTGCTCTCGTACATCCTTGAGAATATTTCTGTCACGTCCTGCGAGTCGACGAGCGGCAGGCATATCTACGTGTAGCACGCGTGTCGATGTACAGGGACTCCCGTCGATTGACTAAAATATTTCGCCGGCTTGTCAACTGCTTTCATCGGACTCCTCGTCGGTATCGAGTTATAATTAACGTGTGTGTCTCCGGTTGAATCATATCTCGCGCGAGTGTCAGTGTCAGTGTCATGCTGGTCCGGAATAAAGGATGCAGAATGTGACGGTGCAGACGGCGACGCATCATACATTTCGAGATGTGTCAAATCATTCGTTATTATATAAGCGAATTTCCGTTCTTAACGGGAGCTTTTTACCCGAGTCGAAATTTGGGCCGACGTTCATAGTCCGTCGTGATTTGACAAGTAATTTTGGCTTCACGAATTTTCGATTATTCGTCAATCTGTGTATCTGTACATGTTATATTGTTTTACGCAAGAAATATTGAGTTAAATGACCCATATTTCGCAACATTATGTATATACTAGGGAGTAAATAAATCTGTAATAATGTCATCAAGCAATGATTTTAAATAATTAACAACTATGAATACCGGCCTTGGAGATGCAATGTGAATCGCAAGTGTTGATATTTGCGTTTGATGATGCTTTTCGGACCGCGAGTACAATTTTGTTTGCATCTGCCGATATTTTTTTTTTTTTCATTTCTGTTTAGTCTTGTTATTGCACGATGAATCCAAACATAAATTCCATTTGCAAACATACACACACATATTCGGAGCATTATTGGACATATAACCATTATTTTTCCTTTTACAGCTTTCAATCAGCTCTTTTCAGAGCTTCGAATCTCATCAAATCTTCCAAAGCCAAAAAACAATAATAATATTAGGAAGAGACGAGATTAAAGTGTTATTTTTGTAACCATTTCCTCCCATCTTTATTTGATTATTTAATACTTACTAATCTCACATCACATATATTCCATTTATATAGTTTAGTAAATTATATAATTGATATATCGCTGACTGAAATTGCGAATGAAGATCAACTGCAAAAATAACGAAATAATTGAATATTAAATAATTCTGAGAGTCTTTTTTTAACACTCAACAGCGGAGAAAACGGCAGCAAAGAGAGTATCTGACATGCAGGTGAAATAATAAAGCTTGAACAATATTTCGAGATTCTTCATTGATCCTTCGAGTTCGGCAGAATTTGTAGGACCGACGTGGAACTAAAATTTCGACTCGGAGTTTTGTGTTTATTGCACTACGCGACGTCGTTTATTAAAAATCGAATCGGACTTGTAAACTGAGCCGGTAAGTTTCGCAAGCTAACAGAAATATATTCTCTTAGACGTTCCCCTTTCGACAAAAAGGGTGTTACGATCGATTGTGCTCTGAATTAATCGCGCATTTCGCATCGATCTCTCTCTCTCTCTCTCTCTCTCTCTCTCTCTCTCTCTCTCTCTCTCTCTCTCTCTCTCTCTCTCTCTCTCTCTCTCTCTCTCAATTGCTCGACATAACTCTGAAACTCACGAAAAGGCCCGAGCTCCCAGCTTTCGGCATACCAATATTCTCAAGTTATTATGTTACTTTGTTAAACAGCCGCGGGAATATTTGTGAGGTGTTTGCATTACTTAGTCAGTGACGGAACTTACGCTTTTGTGCTTTGTTGACAAGTTCGAGAACTCGTGCAGCGGCATGCCGTTGCGAATCGTGCAGTAACCGACGTAACTGCTGTGTCCGCTGATGGAAGTCACCGTCGAGTGTTCCAAGAGACTTCTCGAGGGTGACGTCTCGATCGTTGACACCAAGCGTCTCTTCCGTAAGTATTCCGACGGTTCGTCTCCTGCGGAAAAATTTCGCGAGAATTTTACGAGCGGAAAAACGCCGCGGGAGTTTTACGAATGTGCGTTTCGAAAAAGGGTACGAGAGAAGGGAAGTGAAAAAAAGTAGAGAAAAGAAAGAATTGACAAACGAAAGCGCGAAGGAGCGCGCGGAGTAGTAAAGGAGCTTTATCGGCGAGAGGTTTCTTTCACTTCTTCTCCCCGAATAAAACACATACCAACGTACGTGCTGTCGGAGATACTCGCGCGAGATACCTGTACAATATAAATCTTACGTGCTCGCGCTTCTTCCTCTTATTACCGCAATATTCGTGATACTCGGGAAGACGTGGGAAGAAACTCCCCACTTCTCGTCGTATTAATTTTATCATGTTACTATCTTCATCGCGAGAACTTCCACAGCGATAATTTTCATCGTGACAATTTCGGGTTCGCTCCTCCGTCGATTTCTCGTCTATCATTGTAACTTCTCGCCGCGGTTAATAACGGAAGCGCAACCGGCACCTGGGCGAGGATCACTTGTGTCTATGTACAAACCCGTAATCTGCTGCGGAATGATGTCCGGATTTTTCTCGTCGCTCTCGCTCAGATCGCCGCTGGTGTCCAGCTTCCTGAACGGACTGCTGGGGTGCTTCTCGTCCGCGAGCAGGCTGCACCCCTCGCGGAATCTCAGCTCCCTCTGTATGGGAACAGCTTTCGTTTGCTTCGCGTGATCCTCCATCTGCGACTTGTTTTGCTCGTCCACATGCGTGTGCTGAATCCGTAAAACGACCATCACTATAACCGCGACGATGATGAGAGCCGTCACCACGCCGATCATCACGCTCAGCATCGGTGTCAGTTTGACGTGCTGCCTCGGCCGTTCTGTAAACGCGGTCGGTCGAACGCTTGAGATTCAGCAGCGATCTCGATATCGATCGCACGACGGTCAACGGTCCTTTGTGCGGCAATTTTAAACGTTTAATGGTCCACTTTAATCTGAATGAATTCGCTCTCAGACAAACGTCAGTATTTCAAACATTTCCGATATAATATAATTTTCCAAAGTGGTGACGCAATAGCATAGAATTTTAGGATAGCTGACATAACAAGTTCTAGAAACAAAAAAAGAGAAAAAAGAAATTAAAGATATTTGGTGTGTATGAAACTCGATTTACTCGTGTACTCTGTTAAAATTCAATATGTAATGTTTCGATTAAAATGCATCACGCACTGTGCGCTATTCCACCTACACATGGAGTCATTAAAAGCGTGATCCAATCGGCGGTGGGCGAATTAAAAATTACGATAACAGTCGTATTGAGCAAATAACGGGAAAATTGTCCGATAGTATTAAATCGCAAATCCCTGACCTGCTTTTCCGCGCGGCTATAAAAGCGCCCGGTAGCTTTTTACGCGGCTCAATCGGAGAATTAATATTGAGTCGATAGCTTTTCATCAATCCGGCCAATTGGCGATGCCCTCCGCGATGCGATCCGCGCGAAATTTTTCCGTAATTACGCGGCCCGCGTATAATCTCCTCAGATTATAATGCAATTATGTAATATTGAGCGCTGATGTCGTAGGAGCAACATTGTGCAATTCGGGGCAATTGTTATCAAGACTCGTCGACAAACTGGCGAAAGTTTCATAAAAATCGAAATCATAGACTCCGGAGGGATTGAGAGAGTAGAGTAAAGTATAGATAGATAGATAGAGAGAGAGAGAGAGAGAGAGAGAGAGAGAGAGAGAGGGAGAGGGAGGGAGAGAAAAAGAAAAAAACAGAAAAAGAGAGATTTAATTAATCGTTCTTTTTTTCGATAAAATACGAAAATAGAATTTTATCCGTTCTGTGGAATTTCATCGAGCTAATTAAGTTCTCTATTTTTGTTCTTCGAAAATTGGCATTTTTCATCGGCGATAATCTCGCTGTTGGAAACGCGATATCACCGAATTCCGGCGATAAAGAATTTTTTACTTTGCGAGAACGAACGGAAGAGTTCGCGCGGGGGGTAAAGTGTGCGCCTTGTGCAGGCTGATAGCCTTCTCGGGGTAATGCTTCGTCGTGGAACTTCCAAGTACGCCGGAACTCGTTGAAGCTATCAAACTCCTTCGGAAACTTCGTTAACACCACTCGTGAGCATTTTCGCGGACATCGAATTAGTATCAATTTACTCGGGCTCGCGAGCGCTCGAGATATATATATATATATATATATATATATACAAACATAGTCTAGCCGTCGCGTCTACTAGTCTGGGGACCAGTCTGCCGAATATCGCGTTTCATCGACAACCGCGTCGCCGTGTGTCGCCGCGCTTGATCTTGTCGTGAGTTCCACGACAAGGGCGGGGCAAGAAGTGCGGCGCGCTCACCTGACTCGGACGTCAATTGCTTCTCCGGTAGCCGGAGAGTGCCGGCCTGCACCACCATGGCTTCGCTGCGACCCTTGTCGTTGTAGGCGTAGATGCAAGCCTGATAAAGGGCGCCCGACTCCAGCTGAGTGACGCTGAAGCGCGGCACCGGCGACGTCAGGTTGGCACGCAACTCCTGGGTGTTGCTCTCGCGCACTTCCAGCAGAAAGGACTGCGGCAGGCCGCCGTTGAAGCCCTCCGCGCATCGCACCGAGAACGAATTGGTCGACGTGTTCGAGGTCGTGCAATTGTGAACCATGTCCGGTCGGCCTGTCAGGGATAACGTTCGTCTGGCTTTTAAAATGCGCCGCGTGCACGGAGCTATTCGCGCTCGTAACAGCTCGTAATGAACGCGCGAGAAGTCGCGATAACGTCGCCGCGGCCACCTTTCTCTTGCAGAGGCAGGCGAGCCGGCGAAACCGAATGGAGTTCACCGCGAACGCGATCCCGCGACCCCGCGATGCCCTTTCCTCGAGGGCGATCGACGTGCTCCCGCACCGGAAGATCGGTGATAAGACGGTGAATAAATGAGGAGAACAATGAGACGATTAGAGAAGGATAATAGCGCCGGTCACTCGGCTGGGAATCGCTTGAAATAGAAATACAAAATTGGTTTCTACGTACCGCGTCGCGCAATTACACAAATTGACGATATCAAAAATACATCCAGACGGTTATATGCAGACTTTATTTTTTATTTTTATTTTCAGCTGTCCTGCTCCTCCTGCTGAACCGACTGCTGGATAGCAAATTTGTTGCAATGTTTTAAATAACCGTTATTTTTGAAAGGTTCAACGCCGCCGGACGACGCCGGATTGAAATATTTGCCTGTCTCTCCATCCGGCGCTGCGGGTCAATCGAATTGCGGGGATAAATGAATTAACATCGGCCGGCCAATACCGAGCGAGCGTATATCACTCGTATCGGTATTTTCGAGAGAGACTACGATGTCTCTTTGTCCGACTCTTTGTCTGTCGCGTGGACGAGAGCGAGGAGAAAAGGGGTCGCGCGGTTACTTGCACGACGGCGGCGTGTCGTCGTTTCTGTCGGCTGGCCGACACCCGCGAATCAGGGCGTGATAGTTGCCCTGTAAATCCGGTTCACGGTGTGTTGGCACGTACGAGCTACTTGTAACCGGGGTCGACTGTAACGATATACACGTTCGTCTAGTTTTTCCTGTTAAACGTATTAGCTGGCGCTTGCACTTTGCGGCTGGCGAGCAGCACGGGCGACGGGGCTCGCGTCCGAAAACGCGGAGAGTACGGCGTATTGCGCTCGAGAAATAAAGAAAAGGAAATAGGGGAGAACATGCGCGACACGAGTTGTTCTCGCGTTTATGGTCGCTGAAAAATCATTGCGCCGGACACCTGCTACCATTTCGCGGCCTCGTCGGTTTGCCACCGTTTCATCCCCTTTTTATCTTAACCGCGTCGGGTTCGCGACGATATGCGTGCGCGTGTGCATGTGTGTCTCTCTATGTTGTGTGTGTGTGAGAGAGGCAAAAGCTATTTTCTCTTATATCCCGAGCGCGCCACGAGCGTTTTTGTATTTTGCGCTCACGCGCGCACTCGTTTCCTTTGCGCCGCGGCGATTCGATAGCGTGTCCCGGGAATGACAATTAATTGGTAACACGAGCATCAATATGCGGGTACACGGCGGCGACGGTGGAACAATGACGGCGACGCTGTGCACCGTTCTCCGTTAGACTTGTGCGGATTTTCTAAGTTGGATCAAATGAAAAACAAGCGCTCCCTTTCACGATACCGGCGTTCCCACCCCCTCCCCCTCCTTCGCCCCGCATTTTCAGTAATGCGCTTCGAGAAACTTGATAGAGGGGAATAATTGTCCGGGTTCTTTGTGCGACAACGTCGCACGCTGCGACGCGGACGTGATTTTTATCCGCGCTTTGAGGATTATTCGATATTTCAGGATGAATCGTAATTTCCCTGCATATTACACGCGCGATTAATTGAAGCCTTTTTCTCTTTTTTATAATATCGCAGCTGTTGGAATTTTGACTGCACGATCCCGAGCGCCGCTCGGGATTTCGCGTCCGCTTAATTGAATAATTTATTCTAATCACACGCGCCGCACGTCTTTCCAATTTTGCACTAAGAACCCGAATTAGTTATTCAATTACGTAAACGCGGAACTTTGGAGACCCGGAACAATATTCCGATCCTCCGAATCAGCATAAAGTTTCAATGCTCGCCGGAAGAGTTAAGACCGCCGTGCCGCCGCTTGTCTTATTGTTAACTCCGCTAATTGGCGAGGGGGAAAAAAAAAAAGACGAATCGGTGAATCGAAATTCATTTTGCGTGCGAGGAACGTGCACGCGCCTGGATCTTCTGGAAAGCTTCCGACGAGAGACGGCCGTCGGAAAGTCGCCCCCGAGACTCGTGTGTCTTTTCCCTTCTTTTGCGGCGAACTTCTCTCTTCTCCACCGCGAGAAACGACCGGGACGAATTAAAAGAAGGCAGGAAAAAATGAACGAGAAAAAAATATTTTTTTCCACGGGTCAGAGCCGATCGTCGGCGGCGATCGATGCTCGGCAATACGTAGCTATCCCGCCGCCATAATTTTCGTAGCTCTTTCGCGGTTGACGAGCCCTTCCCCGCCCTTCCGGCCGAACATGCACCCTGGTCAGTCGATCAGGTCGATTCGCGGCGTCTTCGCGAATACGAAACGGCGGTCACGGCGATACGGAGAGAGATACCTTACCCGCCGGTATGATGTGATAGACGCAGGGCACTTGTTGATGCCCGATGCGATTGCTGGCCCAGCAGAGTAACGTGCCGTAATCTAATTCCGTCATCGGCGTGTACGAGACGATGGAGGATGTGCCGGCGCGGGCGATGTGCCCCGCCGCCACGTCGATACTCTCGGCGGAATTATTGAAGGTCCAACGGAATTGCACTTCCGGCGGATTCGCATCCACTTGGCAGGATATATTCGCCTTCTCCTGCTTCGCCACGCCGTGGACCTTGGTCTGGTTCGGCTTGCACGTGGGCGCGACTGCGGATCACGAAAGTCGATGCCGTTCGGTTATCGATAAATAATAATTGGGTCGCGGACAATAACCGCGCTGGCTTCGCCGCGGCTCGTAAATTTCTCTCACGTTCTCGAGAGCGCCGGAAACACGAGTTTTTACCACCTGCTGCCCGAGAACGCAAGAAAATTTCTGGCCGCGATTAATTCCTCCACACGGGGGGGGGGGGGATGCACGAGAAGTGTCATTTGCCGTGTCGCAATTGCCATTTTTATACTGTCCATGAATAATTAGTACAGAGATAGAGACAGGAGAACAGGCAGATGAACGGGCACACTTAATGACAAGCCTGTCAAGATCATTTTTATCTTCAATATTTAACAACCCGATAATGCACCATAATATCCGAAATCACATTTTCCAATTACTCCCACGAATTCATGTGAAAACTGCTGTTCGACTGCCCCCGACAACGAGGGAGATTTAATTTCCATAAATATTTTAATTTCCGATATTATACAATTCTATTGTGTGTGAGGTGGCTAAATTTAAATCTAAATAAAAAGAAAAAAGAATCGTTCTCCTCAAAGCTCGTGTCAATATGTTCATTATTTCCCTTTTTCATCTTTCTATTTCATAAACGGCCGAACGATATAACTTTAGCGTGAAAAAGCTCGCGAGGCTCGACAATTAAATTAAAACCAGAAACCTTATTTCAAATCCATTGATTTTAGTTGTTTTCTTTCATAACCAAGCGTATGAATATTATTAGGTTAATAACGCGCTCATTATAATTTTCAGCCATGAAAATTGTAATGAGTGTTAAAAACGGGAGCGAAAGTGGCGGCAATTTCTCGCTGTAATACGCACACAGCGCGGGAAAGCCGTCCGCCCCGAATGCCCATTGCCATTCGCAGCGGCTCCCCGAATAAATTCAAATATTGATTAACAAAACTATCGCGATCTCGAAATATTTCGAAATATTTCGATATTTCGCGTCCGATAATCTACGCGCGCAAAATGCCGAGCAAACAGCCGGCAGCACTCGTTACACGGCCACGCGCGATGAGAGATGTTCATGAGCGCGCACGCGATTGGAATGAAAATTTCACAATATTGCAGATTTACCGGGGAAATTCGAAGTCTTCGTCCATTGTAATCCGCTATTAATAAAGCCGATCGGATGAGATGCGTATGCGTTAGCCGTTACGTTATTGTCGGCGCCTCCGTCGCGCGATACAGCGCGCGGCTGTGTCGCGAGCGTTCGCGTTTGCCGCTCGCCCGCTTCTTAACGCGACGGATCATTTGAGCGAGCGTTTAATTGTTACCGAGCGGATTCAATCGGCATTTGAATAATGCGATCGACGAATTAATCCGCGACAATCCGATTATATATTCCATTATACGCTGGAAGACTGCAAAAGGTATCTTCCCTTTTAGAAATATCCTCCCTCTTTCAATATAAACGCTTCTTTCCCAGGAAGGATTTTGTTAGTTCATTATCGGGAGGATTAAAGTGGACGCGTCGTCGTCGTCGTCGTCGTCGTCGTCGTCGTCGTCGTCGTCGTCGTCGTCGTGGCCGTGCTGGTGTTAAACAACGGCACCTTTTTCTCAGATGGATAAATCCGAAAAATCGCCGGCGGAATTACACGCGCAACTCGCACGTAATTAAAGCATGACGAGCTTGACGCACATTCCTCAAACATTTCCAAAAAAAAAAAAAAAAAAAAAAAAATATCCTCTCAAATATTTTTTTAATTAAATCCCGGGGCTATTAATGTGTGTTAAATCACCATAACAATACCTCGCCGCGTCGAAATTTACTAAAAAGCCAGCAGCGTTGCGTTCGGACCGGGTGAGCGCATATTTTTAAAATATACAGGTCGTTGTTTCATGCATCGTTGCTATCAACGTTTGGAAATTAACGGGTGCCGCGTAAAATCATGTTTCCGTGCGTTTCATTTTCCGCGCGATCCCCGCGCGATCCTCAGTTTTCAGCGTCCGCGCGTGTTGCCGTAGAAAATATCCTCCGCGTCGGACGCACCAGAGAGAAAGGTAGAGACTGAGAACGCGGACGAAACGCAAAGGGTGATGAGATAGAAAAAGAGAAACAGAAAAGAGAGAGAGAGAGAGAGAGAGAGAGAGATAAAGAGAGAGAGAGAGAGAGAGAGATAAAGAGAGAGAGAGAGAGATAGAGAGGATACGTACACATCACGTTGAGATAAAACGGCGAACTCTCGCCGTCGCCCTCGGTGTTATATCCCACGCACGTGTAATTGCCGGCGCTTTTACGATCGACTCCCTGCAGCACCAGACTCTGGTTGCTGATTATGATGCCCTGCGTGATGTTATGATGAAGCGCCTTGCCCTAGAGAAGAAACATTGTAATTGGCGCCTCCTCGCCGCTAGATTGAACCCGTCAGTCTCGCTGGAGCGCGAGGATTATTATCCTGTGTGCCGACACGCGCTCGCGTTTCTCTCTCTGTGCGTATATATATATATATATGTGTGTGTGTGTGTGTGTGTGTGTGTGTGTGTGTGTGTGTGTGTGTGCGTATGAATAAGGAAAGCTCTCTAACTATGCAGGCACCGTTCTCATCGTTGACGACGATGAGAGAGAGAGAGAGAGAGAGAGAGAGGGGGGGGAGAGAGAGAGAGAGGGAGGAAGAGAGAGAAAGAGAGAAAGAAAACGAAGGGAGCAGCAACCGAGGGGTTGTTTAGGGTGACACGGAAGTTATTATAAAAGTTTGATGCCTCGGAGCGCCCAAGTTTATATTCGGTCTTAACGCGAAGTCTCGTTCTTGCGTGTCAGGAGCGAGCGAGCGAGCGAGCGTAGGCAGGCAGGCATAATCGAGCTTGTTAGTCGCCGAAAGGCCAATCTGTTTACGACCTTCGGATTTTAGAACTTGTCGCGCCCGCGATTCGTTCGCGCGCTGAGATCCATTTATCCCCTCACCCATCGATCGCTCGATCGCTCTTCTCGCGAGGGCTTTTTCACGAGAGAGAGAGAGAGAGAGAGAGAGAGAGAGAGAGAGAGAGAGAGAGAGAGAGAGAGAGAGAGAGAGAGAGAGAGAGAGAGAGAGAGAGAGAGAGAGAGGGAGGGAGAGAGAGAGAGAGGGAACGGGCGGAAAATTTTCGCGCAAGATCTCCCGGAGGTACTTTCTGGTCGAGGTGGATGTTGTTGTGCCTAGTTGTTGGTGGTTGTTTCGCGTTATAGGTCGGAGTGGGGTCGTTCCAAGCCGATCGCGCGGTATGCCGCCTGATGAAGTTAGCCAGCGAGTCTGGACGCTAGGAGTACTCCCGAGTAAATGAAGTTTAAACAGCGGAATTTCGCGCTGTCGACTTGCGGCGCCGACTATCTCTTTCGTTCACGTCTCGGAATCCCCCCGGTTGGATTAACACTTTCCCACATAGAGCAGCGCTCGCGTGGCCCGGCGAAATGTATGCGAATCGCGTTTATTTGTCACGTCTCTCTGGCGACTCAAACTTCATTTGCATTATCGAGCTAATTCGTTGGAATCAACGTGGCAAGCGTGGCGTGTTAATCCGAAAAGAGCAAATCGTACCGGTCTCGAATATCAGCTTGCTCCTCTCCCCGACGAAGAAAATCGAAATATTCGCGCAACGTTGGAGAAACAAATCGCACGAGAGAGAAATACGGCTTTCTCTAATCGGGAAAACGAACCCACCATTTCACCAGATTATGAAAAACAGCTACGGATATCGCTACGGCAGGATAAAGCTACGGTAATTTTGGAGAAACTTTGGATTAAACTTTTTATCGAAACCGGCGACACCAGTCGCCGGAGTGACCTGGTTTGGTATTTTGACGACCGAAAAGTCGGGGAAATTCGACGGAGCACGATCCGTCATTCCCCTTCACGGAAGAAGGCAGACTCCAACTTACCTGATGCCGCCATTCCACTTTGTAGACTGACGGCTCGGCCTGTATGAGGCAGTCGAAGTAGACGTCCGTGCCCTCACGTATCGCGTTCGGATTGAGCGACGTGCCGAGCTGGATCTGCGTCTCCGGCGTGTCTGCGAATCACGACCTTCGGATAAACCGTCAAAATCGAGCGGATTGCCGCGCGTCTGAATAAATAAGGAAAGAGCGCGTCAGCGGCGCGCTTCCTTCCTCCGTCGCGTCGGCGGGAGTCGACGCCCGGGCGTCGTTTATGAGCTTACATTGTATCTGGAGCACCCAGCCGTCCTCCATCGGTGCGGTTCTCATGATTCGATTTTCAGCTTGACACGACAAGTGTCTGCCTGCGTCCGCTTTCGTCGCCATGAAAGATAAAACGCTGGTGGTCGTGTTCCCATCGACGGAGGTCTGTAACAACATTATGATAACGTTCACCATCGGCCCGCCATCGCCGCCACCGCCGCCTCCTTCTCTTCCTTCTCCGAACCGTCCCCGCTTCCTTTCTCTTTACCTTTTTTCCCCTTCGTTGAAGCGGCCGCGCTCTCAGCGTCTCCGCATCGCGTCCCCGTCCTATCGCGTCGTGTGTCGTACCGACACGCTGCGTCGCGCCGACGACGCATTGTTCGCCCCATATATTAAAAGCGTATCTATCACCCTCGCCCTCTCTCGCTCCTATCCAATCACCTTAGCGAGGATCCGCTCGCTAACCACGGTCGAAGTTTCCGATCAATCTCTCGTTACCCTCTTCTCGCACACCGCCCGGCCTATTTTCTAACCACGAAGAAGCGGCCTCTTATCCTTCAGGGTCGGCCCGTCATTACGGGTCGGGTTTTATTGAATTATTCAAGGTATACGTGTTACCTACCCGCTGCCGATAGCTAGTGTTTTTAGGTGGGTAGGTGAGTGGCTGACTCTCGCCGGCTTCCGCGGGTTTACGCGACCGCGTTGGAAGAAGAAGCGCGCGCGGACGGTAGATAGTCCCAGAGCGCGCGTGTGCTCGGAAGATTTCCTTCAACTTTTCATTCGCCGGCCGACAGCGCGTCAGTTCATCGTCCTCATCGCCCGGAGTCGTCGTCGTCGTCGTCGTCGTCGTTGTTGACGACGACGATCGATCGATTCCCTCTCACCGCGGAAAAAGTCGTTCGCAGACGGCTCTCCCTCATTCTCCGCAGAGATCGGCCGCGCACCCACGCGGAAAGTCGCGCCGACAGGGTCTTCTGATTCGATTTACACCGTCGGGCCGCGCACTCAACGTAATTTGCGAGCCGCCGGCGACCGCCGAACAGCTCGCAGTTCCTTAAAGCGGTCGTAAAATAAGGCTGCGTCTCTCTCGCTTGAACGCGCTCGTCGCGCACGTGTATATATATGTGGGGATGCTCCGTCGAGCCGCACGTGTGCGACATCGTCGTCGTCGTCGTCGTCGTCGTCGTCGTCGTCGTCGTCGTCGTCGGCGTCGTCGTCGGCGTGGTAGTATAGATGATGCTGGTGGTGGTGCGTGAATTATCGTTATCGCGGGCCCGCTGTCGCAGAGCCTCGGTAAAAGCGTCGTTAGGCGACGAATAATTTAAATCCGAATACCGCGGCGCGCGTCCGCGCGCGCGAGCGGATTCGCGTTTGCAATTAAGGCGAATCGATGCCTTAATGGACGACCGCTACGTCGAGTGGCCGGCTAACTGCTCTCTGTTGATACGGTCGCCGAAATTTATCTCTCGTCCGACCCGGTGCAATCGGAGGATCCGCTTCGCGCGTATCTGTGTGTGTGTGTGTGTGTGTGTGTGTGTGTGTGTGTATGCGGGCGGGCGGTTGCGTGTACGTGGGCGCGTGGGTAGTTGCAAAAGCCGGGCAAAGCCGCCTTTTCGGTAAATCAGTTATTTGCCCGTTAGCTCCCGGTAAATAGCGACCCGTCGATTGATAACGGTGAACGCCGGTCGCGAGTAAATAACACGTGTCGTTCGGCAAGAAAGTGTGAGGGCGAATTTTTTTTTCGCGCGTAGATTTCGATCACCCGCGAGGGGGAGAGGTGTGGCACACCGTCAAAAGAGGGAGGGAGGACGGCGTTGCGTTATTTTTATGACGATCGATCAGCGACGCGGCGGCTGCGAAACACGCGCATGAGAATTCTCTTTTTCCACTGTTGTCTGAACAAATACCATTATTCTCCGTCTGAAATATCGAGGGGCAGAGAAAGCCCTGCGCGAAATTTGCATCTGGCGATTTTTTTCTCACCCTCCACCCCCCCCCGCTCTTTCTCTCTCGCTCGCTCGCTCGCTCGGACATTAAAATTGACGGCGCAAGATTATTCTGTATTTTTCCGCGTCTGGTCGTCATTTCCAAGTAAAAGCGCGTGGAAAAGTTAACATTCGCCCCCGCTTCCGGCTCGATTTTCGGAACAGAATAAATCCCGAAGACTATCGCTCGCGCAGTTCGCGAGAGACACGACCCTCCGCCGCCCTCCGACCTTACAAGGCAAGCAAGCTCACGGCGAGCGAACGAAGCGCGAGCGATGATATCCTCCGCTCGTCTCGCGGCCTTTTTCGCGTGCGCGCATTAAAAGCGCGAAATATGCGCGTCTACCGCTTTGCGTCGTCGCGCTATGCGAAAGCAAGCGGGCATTAGGAAAAATTGAACCCGCGATCGCGAATATGGATTCCGCATAATATTCCCCGGGTTTTACAGGACGCAGTCTGCAAAAATTAAACATTCGAACTTCGACAAAAGCTCGCCCGGATCGATTGAACCCGGCAGCGCGTTTCATACTCCTCGCGCGACGAACGTAACGACGCGTCACGTGCGCGCGAGAGAGCGAGCGACGTTGCCGGAAAAATGCATCGTTTCTCATTACTCATTTCCTTGCGCCCGAAATAAAGCAAAATAGCTGATAAAACCTCAAAATGTCCCACTGCGCGGTTTTTCAACTTGCCCTGTGACATTTGAAAAAGTGGACACGCGCAGCCGAGCAGCCTTCAATCTCGCGCGAGCGCGCCTGGATGCGGCCAGCTCTCTCTCTCTCTCTCTCTCTCTCTCTCTCTCTCTCTCTCTCTCTCTCTCTCTCTCTCTCTCTCTCTCTCTCTCTTCTGCCGGCGTCATGTCGCGCGATTAAAAAATAATCGCGAGGCGGAACGCGGCCGGGCGAGCGCGAATAATAAATTTCGCGTCTTGCCGGGAAATAAATCAACGGAGGCAGGCACGCTCTAATTTCATTCCGATGGCGGGATAGCTTCGCGTCGTGCAGCGCGCTGCGCCGCGCTGGCCCGCGCGAAGATAATTACGAAATGAGATGCGCTATCCATTAAAAATATATTTCCGGTCGTGCCCGCGCGCGCCCGCGGGTCGGATCGATTAATGTAATTGCTGCAATTTCACAGGCGATTCGAGCGGGGAAAAATATTCCGGAGTGCGATCTCGTTTTCGGGACGTTACGATGTGTGTGTGTGTGTGTGTGTGTGTTTGTGTGTGTGTGTGTGTGTTTGGTGTGGTGTGTGTGTGTGTGTGTGTGTACTCGCAGCCTGTGCGCTACATATGCGAACGTGCGACCGTGTAATCGCGCCGCGACACCGTCGGGACTTCCTGTACAAGTTACATAATTAATAGACTGCTTATTGTAGTCAAGAATACAGATTCAGCACGAATGGCGAATATCGAGATAATCGAACATGAAATAATTCCGAACCGGATCTTTCATTAACACTCTCCACACGGAGAGGCAAACAGCTATTTGCTGCAGCGAGATAGGACAATAGCTTGCGCAGTGTTATATGCCGAGGTTCTCCGTTGCGATTCATCAAGTTCGAAGGAATTTGCAGGATCGAAATTTCGACTCGAAGCATCACGTCTCTGGGAAGTCGCCCAACTGCGCGATTGCAGGAAGAATGAGATGAGACGCGGTCAACTTTCCGTCGCGTGCGCAGATTGGATTATAACGAACGTCTCGTGGTATTTTCCTTCGACCGTCGCTTCTGTTTAACTTTCTTACGTAAGCGGCGAAACAATCTCCAGTGTTGCGTCGCGTTGCACGAGTATCGACTTTGAAACAATATTTTTCCTGTGCCGCGCACACGGACCCTTCGTCATCGTCGTCGTCGTTGTTGTCGTCACTGCCGTCGTCGTCGCCGTCGCCGCCGCCGTCGCCGCCCTTAATCCATCCGCGGTAAATATTTACGTCGTCGTCTTAAGTGCGGATGAAAACGCAGTGGATCCGATGCGCAGACCCGGCGTGACGCGTTTTCCTGTATACCACCCGGTGTGTTTTATCGGAGCACCGGCAGGGAGGAATCGATGTAGAATAAACAGCGCCGATGCTCGATTTCGCCCGACAACGGGTCAATTTATTCGAAAGTACGTTCTTTCATTTCGTTGCTAATCCGCGTTCCCATTGACGTTTGTTTGCTTTGTATACGAAATACCTTCATCCGTTTTCTCCCGCGACAGAAACGGCGCGCGCTCGGCTAGAACGTTCGATTTACGTTAAATCGGAATTTATTCCGCGCGCGCACCGCGCTCAAAATGAAATCGAATGAATTAATGAATTGAGGGTGACAGCAGGAGAAAGAGACAGAGAGAGAGAGAGAGAGAGAGAGAGAGAGAGAGAGAGAGAGAGAGAGAGAGAGAGAGCGCACGAAAATTCCCATAGATCAAGTATTATCGTAATCGCCTCAGCGGGATATTCTTTATTCTGGACGCAGTCCGTAATTAGATTTATCGATTTTTTCCAACACGTTTCCTTATTTTAATAACGTTGATTAATTCCGTAACGATGAAATGTTAAGCTTCACTCGTTTCCTGTCAGGGCATCCCGTGCGTACGCGCGCGCGCCCGCGCGTTTCGACAGTAATACCGTTAAAGCATTTTTTTAGCTTTTTTTCATATTGTTTCATTTTCAATTCTACAGCGAATCAATACACGGTTTATCTGAAGAGACTTCCGCGCTGCGAACGGAACATCCCAATCGTGCAGTAAATAATTGGCTCGCGAGAGCTGGCCGACATACCGTCGTTCCATTTTCCACGTTCCCCTCCACCTTCCGCGCAACTGATGAAATTGATTCTTAGATTGTTAATTAACGTATTATTGCTCAGTCTCGCGCTAACGCTCGCGCCGCGAAAGACTACCCCGTTCCGTTTTGAAGAATTATAAAAGTCTTCCAAATACGATCGCGAAAAATACAGTCGATAAATTGCGCGAAACGAAGAACGACGACGAGTGGAACAGTGCACGAGAAAAATCGACGATAATAAACAGTTTCGACGGATGACGCTCGACGAGTGATAGCACGGCGCGGAGCGTTAATAATAATAATATCGTCCACTGGCAATTTTGCAAGTAGAGATTTATCGCGCTGGTCGCGAGTCGTTATTGCCTCGTTATTACTTGGCGCGTCTCCTCGTATTCTCGCGGCTATCCCGATATCGAGCCGCGCGCGGTATCGAGCGGCGCGACATCGTTTAAAGACAGTCGCATTTCTCCCATCAATTAAACGTAATCCCCGCATCGTAAACGTCGCCGCCGTGTGCGGCAGTCAATCACGTAATCGGCTGCGCGGTTGCGCGCGTCTTCGTCTTCTCTTTTTCACTTTCTTCCCCCTCCGCTTGCGCGCCGTCGCTTGATCCGCGGAAATTGAACGTGGAAATTGCAGTCTCGGTGTGCGATGAAATTAGGAGACACGTGTCAATCAGCCGGCTCAACACTCGCTCGTGCGCGAGCGCGAGCGGGAGATTAATCGTCGTCTTTCGCTAATGCGTTGTCACGGTGATTAATCCGATACCGAACGCAAACATGCGATTGAGATAATAATCGCAAATATGCGCGAGTTCTCAGCGAAAGAAGCGGACGTTTCTCGGTCGACGCTCGTGTTTGTGCGTCTGCGCGTGTGTGCGCGTCCGTACGACAAGCACGCGTTTCCGAACGGCCCTTAACGTCGGGGGAAAGGGTCGAATACAAATGAGATTCGAACAGCGAAGAAGAGAAAGAGAGATAGAGAACGAGAGAAAGAGAGTCTCTCGTTCTCTATCTCTCTTTCTCGTGTTTCATACGGAGGCGTATCTCGAGCGAGCCCAGGACGATGCGGCGACAATGTGTGCGGGGGAAATCGCGGACGTTCAGGCACGAACAGCGCGAAGCTTTCCGGCTCGTGATAGATGCGCTTTTAATGTATCGGGCGAGAAAGAGAGACGGCCAAGTGGCCGGTCAATTCGAAAACTACTGTGCTCGCGTTCTCGGCGTTCTCTCTCTCTCTCTCTCTCTCTCTCTCTCTCTCTCTCTCTCTCTCTCTCTCTCTTTTTCGTGCGCGCGCGTCGTTCGCTTTGGTTGAACGAAACGCTCGTTTAAACGCTACCGCTCCGTGCCGCCCGCGCCGGCGAGATAACATTTCCTTCGTGCGTCGTCGTCGAGAAGAATTATAATCTAATCCCACGAGCGTGTACATCCGTTAACGCGCACTGGAGCCGTTTATTAAAGCGTTGACGAGAGAGCCAGGCCGCGTGTATCGGTGGAAGTAGTCGACGATCTCTCTTGTTTAAGAGGCCGCCGCTTCGACTTTTACGCGCGATCCGGGAATAGCGAGACGAGACGAGATGTACGTCGGGCACGCTCGTTCTCGCGTGAGAACGAAAATTGTCCCGTCGAGAACACACTTACCGCCTCCTTGGAATCCACTAAGCGCTGACCATTTCTCCACCAGGTGACGACGGCCGCTGGCCTGGAGCCGGAAGTTGTGCAGACCAACTCGTATCTCTTGCCGGCCGACAGCGGCTGGTTCGCGCCAATTATCTTCACCTCCAGCGGGCTGACTGAAAATTATTTCATTCGTCGCATGAGTAACGCGTCCGAGCGCGCGGCCGAGGGACGTTTCATTTCGCATGTGCAGATATCATCATGTGCGGATATATTCATCGGGACGCGCGTCTCACGACTCGCTCGTTGCTAAAACTGAACCGATCGAATATAAACCTCGCGCAGAATGGAGAGAAGCCACGGTCTGTAATGTGTGAAGCGTGCGATCGAATCTGCCGCGATTAATTCGAGAGCTTTCAATCCGGCTCTTGCCGAGGTGATGACGCGAGTCGTTGTCATGACGTGTATATATATAGTGCGCGCGTTAAATTGAACAAGAGAAAGAGAGAGAGAGAGAGAGAGAGAGACACGTATGATGAATCCGTCTAGACGGAAAATGCGCGACCCCGAGTGAGATATGCACCGAATCCGAGAGTCTTTTCAGAGGCGTTTCTACGTGAGCTTCGCGCATGCGTTTGTAACGCAAACACTCTCCTCCGCGTAAGCAACGCGACGAATTTTAAGCGTAGGATCATAAACTTTCCCTTCTCATTAATCCTACCCTTCTCTCTCTCTCTCTCTCTCTCTCTCTCTCTCTCTCTCTCTCTCTCTGTCTCTCTGTCTCTATGTCTCTTTCTTCCTCTCCGTTCTGTTTCTCCCGTTCTCCTCTTCTCTAACGCTCTCTGCTCTCATGCTACTCTCTCTTTCTCTTTCTAGCGCGATTCTTTTCTCGCGCTCTTACTACTTTATCACGCGCCATGTATCTTGCCGCGCGATAGCTCAAGCACCATAACAAAGTGAATAATTTAATTTAGAGCGGGGACAATTAATCTTGCGTCCCATCTTGCGCGCTCTTTTTCACGATGATTCAAATGTTTCGCGAGGTGACTTAGCAATGCGCGGCCGAGGACCTTTTCCAGCTCAGCGCGAATTCTTTAAGTCACATCTTCGCTCGAGGGAGCGGTCGTTCCAGATCGGGCGTATAAACTCGGTTTAACCCGCTAAATTAATTGACATCCAGTCGATACGTATTTTCAACTTCTCATGTCCTACGGAACGTGATTTTCCTTTTTATATCGGTTTCTCGAGTCTCTCCCGGAAAGAGAGAGAGAGAGAGAGAGAGAGAGAGAGAGAGAGAGAGAGAAAGAGGGAGAGAAAGGGAGATAGGGACTGTGTACATCTCATTTATCGTCGTCGTGCAAGACAACTCGCTCGAGTTCGAGAAATTTCCACGACGCTGCGTTGTCGCGTTTCAACGAGATATCGAGCAATTTGGCGCTTCCGCCAGGACCGAGCGGACGTATCGGTTTAAAAATTTCGCGGTAATCCCGGTGTCTAGCGAGACAAATTAAAAAAGGGCCGCAATTAATTAACCCCGCTCGTTGTTCTAACGTCCCCGCGATAACGGTGCAAGCGAAATTAACCGCTCGGCTACACCCTCGACCGCCGCCGTCGTTTCTTCGTTATAGCGGGTCGCCGGCCACAAGACGCGTACCTTCCCGCACGCCAAATTGACGTTGATAAATCCTCTTTGTTATAAAGCGATACATCATCGAGTCCCGCGTTTTCTGCTCCGCTCCGCAAGCGGAGCGGAGAGAAATCGAAGTTATTCCGAAAATTGTCGCCGCGACTCGCACGGAGTGTGCTGGCGAATAATATTAAAATGTCGGGCACCGCCCCTCCCCCTCCTTCGCTCTCGCTTGTTCTTCTCTTTTCCTTCTCCCTTTCTTTTTTTCTCTTTCTATCTCGCGCCTTCTCGCTGGATAATGCGAGTGGTTTTCACATCGATGGGTTAAGCTCGCTACGACGGCGGAATTAATATTTATATCCCTCCTGGTCCTCTCTCTTTCTCTCTTTCTCTCTCTCTCTCTCTCTCTCTCTCTCTCTCGTTTTTCGTTTTTCCGCGCACCCGCTTTATGCCCGGAAACGTCGTACTCCATTTCGCGCGTCCTCTGAATTTTCCAGTCGATGCGCGAGAAATTTTGCGCCCCGGGTGCGCCGAACCTCGAGCGCCAGGAAAAACGGATTCAAACGCGCGTCGTCGCGCTCGCGCACGCCCGGTTATACGTGGAGGTGTGCGCGACGTGACCGAGAATTTATAGACGTGAGTAAGGCGATCGTCGATAACGGCGCAAAGTGACCGCGAACGATGGTTTTGCGGATGCCGTGTGCGCCCCGTAAGTCGTGGCAAATGTTATCCGTGCATACGCGCGCGTGCACGCACACACGCACACACGCACACACACACACACACATACACACATACATGCATGCAGTCATCGAGCTTCAGCGATAGTATTTGTAGGAACCGTGAATTACGGAAGTTCATCGATTTACGACGCGACGCGACTCGGCACGGTACATAAACGTAGCAAGTCGCGTGAACGAAAAATATCCGGGGTCGCTTGTTTTCCGTCTTTTCCGTATTTTCGGGGATGACTCGCGCACGTTCGCTTACGAGTCACAATTATTCGCGAGAATGACGCTGAGGAAAAACGAAACGGAGGACGTTCGACGCGAACTCGTCAGACTGCGGGATTACGTTAAGCGGAGCAACAGACGCAATCCACATCCCTCACACTCTCACTTTGTCTCTCTCGCCTCCTCTCTCTTTCGCCACTAACCTGCTTCGTAATGACGTTTATGGATGAAACGGACGGAGCCGTGACATTTTCGTCTCCTTTGGCAACGATTTTCCCGCGACAAGCGCGCGTACTGCAATTAATGAAAACCAATTTCTGTCCTCCCGTTCACTCCCGGCAAAATCCTCGCAGATTACTACTCGGCCCCCGCGGTTTTACTTCCGCTTAATAATTCACAACCGATTATAGAATTACGGGGTGTGCATGCATACGCCTCATATACCACAACTGACCGTAATTTCAACGTTATCGTAGATTTATTCGCGGATAAAGCGCGCACTCCGAGGTGAAACGAGGATTTCGTTCGTATTTTGCGTATTTTGTGGTGTCTTGCTGCTTTTCGACAATTATCGTTGTTGCGTTCGCGCGCAATCGATGCGCGGCGTGACGTTTACGCACGGCGGGCACAGGAGAGACACGAGACGAACAGTCGGAGCGGCGGATCTCGTGTGAAGGAAGTCGAGAAACGACGACTCTCTCTCTCTCTCCCTCTCTTTGGACGTTTGATGAAGCCTATCCCGGACGAGAGAGAGAGAGAGAGAGGAACCGCCGAGTATCCATTTGCTCAAAATTGAGTTATACCGCGTTTCATGCGCTCTTATCGCGTAGACTCCGTGTTACGGACGGAAACACCGCAAGTTTCGATAACCCACATGCAACTAGGAAGCGCGCCACTCCGCTCGAGAGGGAAACCTCGCGCCACCAGCCGCGGTATCCACACGAGGTTTTCAATCCTCGCCGAGGGAGTCTGGTCTTTTGCCGGATACGCGGATTTTCTCCTCCGCCGATTCGATCGCACGTAACGCTCTTATCATAAGTGAAGTACAGCCAGGACGGGATTTCTCTTCCTCTCTCTTTCTCTCTCTCTCTCTCTCTCTCTATATCTATCTCCCACCCCCTCTCTCCTTCTCTCTCATGTTCCCCGCCACGCGGAAACAAAGCGTCTCACGCTCGTTGTCTCCCCGCACGTCTCAGGAACAGCCGTGAGCGCGGGCGAAGGACTCGTCTGGAAATCATGATTAAAGCATAAACCTCGCGCACATCCTTGCCTCGCGCAAGGAAATTTGATACTTCGCGGATCGCGAGAAGTTATTCGTGTGAATAATTCATTCGCGGCGCGCGAATGTGGGACCGCCGTCGCAATTTGATCGCACCCTCCCATTCGCTCTCGCATTCTCTCTCCTTCCCTCTCGCTGTCTCGTTCACCTCGGGGACGCCTTCCATTCCGAGAGAAAGAAACTCGCTTAATCGCGCAGCGACCACCACCACCGCCACTGCCACCGCCACCACCGCCATCACCACCGCCGCCTCCACCGCCTCCACCGCCACCACCGCCGCCGCCGCCGCCGCCGTCGCCGCCGCCGCCGCCGTCGCCGCCGCCGCCGCCGCCGCCGCCGACAACCCGATTGCCGGAGTAATATTTCAGGCATTCTAACCCGTCGCCACCGGCAATAAGGCTGCCTTGCCTCCTCCGACGTTGCCTCCGCCGCCGCCACCTTCCCCAATTTCCACCCCCTGAGTTACGGCTCGAGACTAATTTACATGACTTGCACCGAACTAATTCGAGCGGCGGTCGATAGCGCCGACTAAAGGGGTTAAAACGACGTTTACTTTATTACGTAATCACGGGGAAACCTAATATTGACAAAGGCGCGATGAGGGGAGCACGGCGAGGGGACGACAGCGACGGCGACGGCGACGACGACGGCGACGGTGGTGGCGGTGATGGCGGCGACGGTGGTGAGGTTCGGCTACGTGCGCCTTACCCCGCATTCTCGGCTCTCGCTTCAAAGAGCAGTGGCGGCTACCAACGACGTCCTCGTTGTGATGCCGCGGGTCTTTGCGCCGCAGTTTGTTACTTACGATTTGCAATTCCGGCGGTGTTTGAGTTTACGGATTGAGATTTATGGACTCGCAATCGCGCGCCGGAGGAAGGCCCGTCGTGGCGAGACCGGACGAGACGTGGTGAGATGCATGTTCACCGTCTGGTGAAGCGAGTCCGAGCGAGTCGCGGGGCGAAAACGAGAGGACAAGCCGACGTGCGCGTACGCCAGGAGTGTCTCTCCTTCTCTCTCTCTCTCTCTCTCTCTCTCTCTCTCTCTCTCTCTCTCTCTCTCTCTCTCTCTCTATCATTCTCTCTGTCTCGTTTGCATCTTAATCAAGCGGCAGTTTCATTAGCGATAAGTCTGCCATGCCCGGTTAATTAATGCAACCGTAATGTCGCCGCGACGTTTAACCCTTTGAAACGCGACGGCGTTACGTTACCGTCGCTATCTTTTTGATCTCGGCCAGACTTATTAGCTCCACCGGAATGAATCGCGCACGCTTATCGGCCGTCGCGCGAGCGCGCTTATCGGACACTGAGTGTGGAAGCT